CGATCGCACAATGACGCAACACCCAATGGATTCCGTTTGCCTCATTTCGTCAAGTAGTATGTGAGTTTCTCATCTCACACAGATGTGGCGCATGTAGTGTCACACTTTGCGGTTGTGAGGCTGTGAGGTCATATTATTGCATTCTGGGAGGCTGCCCTTGGTGCAGCCTAGTTGGGTGTCTTTTGAAATTCTTTTGGCGTCCATCAGCCCATAAGCTGTGACATAGTGAGCTTCTTCCACTTCTACTTATAGACTTATAGCTGTTGCTAACTATACGCTGCCCAGAGACGCCCCGCTGCCCAGAGCTCATCCCACATTCATGTAACTTCACCAAGTTTGAAGACTTCACGCTGCAAGACGCTCCTTTGGCTTTGCTGGTTTGAAGCCCTTCCGACCATCCCGAGGCGATGGCAAGGAGGTCTCGGCGCTCAAGGAGTTGCTCCATGCGCCGGAGAAGGCGTTGGACAGTTAGATGGTCCGCCTTGTGGGGGGGTCCGGACTTGGTCCTGCAGGGGATTGGGCTGCTCCAAGATAGTCCTTCATGGTCATGAGATGGTGAGCGGATGCTTTTGTCCATCCAGATTGGAGGTTGTCTCTGCTATTTTTCTGTATCCTTCTTGTGGTGATGCAAATGATGCGAATACCATGTTACTTTTGATACCACTGTTACTTTTGATACCACTTTAGAATCTGTTTAGATTGGGGTGCGCAGCAGGCAAAATTTTAAAAATGCATTCTTCCGAAATACAGATGCACAGCGTATGTGACCACTATGGCAGACGTTGATTCTTCAGACAGGCGCTTGTGGCCGACCTGTTTAACAGCCCCCGAGGCCAACCGAAGCGACCAGCTTGAGGCGTCTCCCGGCAATGCACTTGGTGCCCCGGGACTGTCCTGAAGCCCTGGGACCTTCCAGTGAAGTCTATAGAACTTGGAGGAAGGGAAGTGCTGTAAGTCCAATGTTCCAACGTGGAGGATTTGGGAGCGTTGCAAGTCCACCCTCTACAGTACCAGGTTGGACTTTTTTCCAACAGCCAGAGATTGAGAAGTTGTGTCGCATTTTTTTTAGGGGAAGCACTTCTTAGGACCTCTTAAGCACATCGCAGCCCACTGCTTGGCTCACCGGTTTTTCCAACGTCCCCCTTCTGATCTGGGACGAGACACCGCCAAGGCTGGATGCATTGAACTATCCGGCCTTGAAGCCCGGGGAGATGACCGTGGCACCTCGGACGTGTCCCTGATGATTTCCCCCCAACTGTCCGAGAGATCCGACGCTGGCTACGCAGGGGTTTGGCTTTAAGAGAGTGAGCTTTGTCAAAGTCCTGGTACGCAACAACACATGTGGCCTTCCTAACTCGAAGGTACTTGTAATTATTCATTGTAGCCTCGTTGTAGTATAGTGACTCTATAGTGCTTCACCTGTTTGGAAAGCAGTCATGAGCGGTCCAGAGTGCGGTCATACCCTGTGCCGTTCTACAGCGAGGTCGCTGTGGCGTAGGAGGCCCCGCGTTCGGTACCTCCCGTCGGCCGCCATTTCGACGCACGAAGTGCCGGCAGAGGTTGAAGAACCCAATAGACTCAACCTATTTGGGTTCTATTGGGATAATACCCGGCCCTGGGTATTGGGATAATCCCGTAGTGGCAATAGACTCTAACCATTACGGGATATTACGGGACCTATTTTTTGAGGTTACTTAACCTCTGTTGCTGGGAGAAGGGAACTAGTTTCAGCTCCATGTGTGCCACTTGCTGAACTTGCGCCTGTTCCCTTCTCTGTCCAGCTGAAAATACGGTTTGTTCTTCTTTTCCTCACTGCTCAGGTCGTGTGCAATCTGTTTCGAATCTACCCGCTCAACAACATTGTGGCACCTTGGCCCCATCGGTGCGTCTCGTCGAGATGGCTTCGTCTGCACCACCTTCGCACCTGCGCAACCGCTTCGTTCGCGGCCACGGACGTCCGAAGGCGCGTTGGTGCGAGGCCAGACTGGTTGGAGGAGGGTATGTCTTTGCTCCATTCTGCTTTCACCAGGAAGGCCTCGAGCTTTGAACGCTACGTTTCAATTATTGAGGGTTAACGAATTGTCTTGCCCACCCTAGACCTTTTGTGCTCCCAGTTGCTTTTTGAAACGCACTGCCGTACTGGCAGTGTCGCACTCACGGAGAGCACTTGCTTTGGCTGTCAAACAGTTTCACTCTTAGCTTCCCCAAGGATCATAGGAGATGTGCTGCGGTCTGAGGCGGTCAAAGTAGCTCGCAGACCAACGAGATGTTTTCGGACTGATCTTCAGGACAGTTCCGACGCTCATATGCCGGTCGAAGGTCCCCAAGACACATGTCCCAAAAAGAGCCTAACATCACCCCCTAGCTACAAAAGCCAGGGGGGACCACTTCACCACGCTTTAGCCACGTTGACGCACTTCACCATGCGACTGCACCTTACGAACGCGGTGGCACCGGGTTCGTGGCTCATTGAGGCGAGCGCCTCCCCTTCGAGCACCGCTTCGTTTCTGGAAGGAGCGAGGAGGTGGCGACGCGCCGGCCAGCGCCTGGCTGGGTGAATGGAGATCCATAGAGGTCTGTGTTGTGTTTGGGTTCCATCGATCATCATACAGACAGATCTTTGGAGGGCCCATGATGGCCCTTGTTCTCCAACAGTCAATTGTTCCCTTGTTCGTGTGGAGACATGTGCAGTGTCCTTGATTCATGTGTCGTTGGAGGCGGTTCATCTCCAAATTGCAGATCCAATTGGTGTTCATGGAAGTCTCAGTTTCAACTGAGCAGAATTTGGGTGAGTCTAAAAGTCTTTGGCAACAAGCAAGCCACGCCAAGCCTGGAAACGTTTCGATTCTCCCAGTTGAACACGGCCACACGGAAGTAAAATCCAGCATTGCCAGAATCCAGAAACAACTATTTTATCCGGCTGCCATGAATACTGGTATGTCGAGCTTTTCTATTCACACTTTTGCACGGCTAATGACTTATATACATAATGGCCTTTTTTCCTCCCTCCCCTGACTTCTTGGAAGGTCCGAGTGGATCGACGATGTAACAAAGCTGGCGGTGAAGGCGTGACTTGACTCGGAGGTTCCATGGTCTCCATGGAAACAAGGTTTGGCGTTCCGCTAAAAGCAAATTATGCAAACCAATTAAATCAATGCACAATATATAAACCACACTAATCCACACTAACCACGCCCATGATCCCTGACCAACTGGCAGGTTCAATTCAAAACTAACATCAGCGCCGTGCCATGACCATATCACGTCGAATTTGCTTTCAAGACTATAAAATGACTTGCGGAGCCGAACATACCAAAGCTTGGCAGATTGATCATGCATGCGTTGGGCATAACAAATGTACAATGCACATGAACACAATGTTACATAACTACTTTGGACCTGTGCTGCGGGACCTTTGGGGTCAGAGATTCAAGTTTCAGGACGTTTCGTTCATGGGGCTCCCATGATGAAACTTGGACAACCAGATCCAACGAACCGAGAAGTGACGATCTCGGCCGCGTTGTCTTGGCATCTCGGAGCCGACCCGAGGCAAGCCTACACGGCCACGGCCATCCGGTCCATCACCAGCGCCAAGGCCTTGGGAAACCCACGTCATCTCCAGCCCTAGGGCTCCAACTACCTCCATTTCGAAGTTGTTTGGCAATAGCTTAGGAATTGTTTCATGACATGAGTGACATGAGTCATGTCGCCCTGGTGGCAGGAGAAGGGAGTGGTAGAATGGATTCGACGGATTTGACGGGAGCATGTGCGAGTCCAGGCATGGTACATGAACTAAGTCGTGTAGATATATACAGATAGTTTGGGTTTGTCAGTCCTGTTACCTGTGACAATGTTTGAACAAGGCCTTTACTAACCATCATCATCCACTGTTGCTGGTAATAGGATGGGCCCAACAGATAGTGTATACAGATAGCCATAGCATGGATGTTGATCATACAAGCCCCAAGATGCCGCAAGCGCCACAAGCGTTGCTGCTACTTGTGGCATGGGGTCGGCCCACCGACCGCCTTTGAGTCCATTCCTTTCCAATTGGAAAGGTCCGAATGCATACCATCACCATTGATGGCCAAGTCTTCAGCCATGTTCCACTGCCCTGGAAAGCTTCGAGGTCCCCTTCTACGGTAAATCCACCCTGAGCGACCGTCAGGCAGATGCTACCATGACGCTTGGCCTGTTGGCTTGGTGAAGGCATTGATGATTGAGTGTGACAACATGTTTGACTTCTTTTGGGGCAAATAACTGGAGCGTTTTGGCATGTCAGCTGCGACTCCGACAGCAATCCTGAGGTTCTCGTTTTCCATCCTTTCTCCTGTCCTCCATTCGATTTGTGATGGGGGCAGCAGAGAGAACTAGTTACTATAGACATATAGAGAGAACTTGTATGCTTCAGAATTTGCACGTATCTGCACAATCCACGCAGGGAGGCAACAGGTGGAGCAGCCTGAAATTTGGTGAAGAAGTCTATGAAACGCGTGAACTCTGAACACCAATCATTGTTGTGTCATATCCCTCAACAATTTCCAACAATTGAAGAACCCAGAGTTGGATTTGGTCCAGCAAAGGTAGGGCAGGTAGGGCTGGTTATACCATGTTATACTAACCGATACAAACCGGCAGCTAAATAACTTACCTTGGTGATGATTGCGGAATACAATGAGATCTAATATCTCACACACACAAACATATATATATATACACATAATCATGTATATATATATATTTATATTTATATATATATTATATATATATATCTTTTGCTGCATGGCAACTGTGTAAGTATATATAAGTTTTCTTCTCCACCCCAGAGAAAAAGGGTAAACAACACAAGGGGAGATACACGGTCATAAAAACAAACGGTCGAATTCCGACTCCGCCACGGTCGTTTCGACCGAAAGAGGCATCGACCAATGCCACTCCTTTAGGATGGCTTCGCCTTGGGCCCCCTCCCCTTGGGCCGATGCTTTGGTTCGCAGCTCAGGATGCTTTGGTTCGGGGACAAGAGCACCACTTCGAAGAAGGAAGTTCGCCGGGTCTCCACTCAGGCAGTTTCTGGGTCGATGGGTGGAATGAGGACCCGAAGAAGCTGGGCTTTGTTTTTTCATCTTTGTTCAGTTCGGGATGTCCGTGAGGTTTGTAATGAGGGGATCTGGATGCTACATGATGCTACCCTAGCCGCGGAATATATGGCGCGGACTCCAAGAATTACAGTCGGGGTGCGCTCAGCCTTCACATGGGACTTGCACGATCTACCCTGCAGATTTGCAGGTGGTTTCTCGAACTGAAGATGCTGTTCAGCAGCTTTGGCTATTTTTGACTTGCCAGGGCATTGGACAAACCAGGTCAGGATGAGGTCACTGAGCGTTCAGTCACTTTCGACTCACTGCCTCAAAAATGCAGGTGAATCGGCTGCTCTCCAACGTGGCTTATGAATACCCTGGCCCGCAGTGCAGAGAGAATGTTTATGCCTATGTGCACCCGAACCCGCCCTACAACAAGCACCTTGACCTGGAAAGCAAGAGACCTTTGCTGGCTAGCAAGCTGTCAAGCCCGGCAAGAAAATGCACTGGAATGAAACATAAAAAATGCTGCCAGGCCCCCTCCCCAGCAGCCTCCTGGTTTGGGAATGGATTGATTCGTTTGGGGGGAAGCAACTACGTTACCAGTGCTTTGGGGGGCCTGCACAGGTTTGAGAAGCACAGCAATGACATGCAGAGGTCTTCACTCACCCATACCAACAAAGGTTTTTGCCACCTAGAACTTTGGACAGAAGAAAAACTACGGCCCGAGTGAAGAGGGTTTCGGTACACCATCAATCTCACAGCGTGAAAGACAAGGATGATATTGATGTGGTCTATGGAGTCTATGGTCTCTTCAAGCTTTGGACAGAGTCTATAGACGGCCCAAGGAGGCAGACAGCAAGATACAGCAACTAGTAACTAGATACCATTCCAGCCTCCTCCGAAAATACAGAACTTCTACAAACAAGCTGTGCTTGTCCTACTCACGTGCCTTCAGCTGGGTTTTTTTGAACTTGAGCATGATCATTGAGGCAGATTCGAAAATTGACTTGCTCGCCTAGGATTCCCCCCAGAAATGCTCCAAAATCGAGACAAACCAACTAACAAGTGATCAAGTACTTTTAGACTTCCTAGACCCTCCAAAGTACCCTAGACAATGGATGAACATGGTACATGACCCTATCAAAGCAGTTTTACGAGTACTGCGAGGGTCCAAGAGAACATGGCATGCTGGTCGCCAGAGAACACCGGAGCCCCTTTCAACCGGTTTGAGGAGTCGCCTTGCCAGTTCCCGCTCTTTTGCCTCCCGCGCGCTGAGGAATGACCGTGAGGGCCCTCAGTTTCGGTGGTGGAGTGCTTGGTTGGCAGGCGCTGGATGAAGGAAGATGTGGACACAATAAATAAAGAACATGTTATAGGATACATATTAATAAAACGTGCTAGGAGTCAGGAGGAAATTAGAATAGGATATAGTCAGCATACTGGTCGCTTCCCGGTTCGCAGGTGGTGGCTTCATTCATCGACAGTTGGATCAGCTTGGTTCACAATCCCTGCAGCAGACCGTTTACAGTGATGGCGAGGAGAAGATGGTAAAATCACCCACTTGCGGTGTTGCAATCCAATTATACTGTAATCCGAATTTTGGAGTACTCTTTCAGAATTCACCTGGATTGGGCTTCGCTGGCGCACGGCTGTTGTATGATGCCGGATGTTTCCGTGTGGACCAAGGTGGCCAATATTTGTTTTATTTGTGTGATGAGCCACTTGGCTTATTGCTGACCCACATCCGCTGTGAGAGAGCCACTGTCAGTCAGAGAACCACTGAACCCCCCATGGCATCCATGAGCGCGGTACTCTATGATTTGCATTCGTTTGCCATACTCGAGATAAGAATCTCAGGTGCTAGATGTCATGGTTTTGGCCCTGGTCCTAGTCCTTGCTCCTCCCAGCGGCTGACTTGCCCAGTTACATTAAAGCGCCGATGGGCACACAGCTGGAGACCTTGACTCATGAAGCTTCACATCACGAGCCGCTTGGGCAAAGGCATGAGCTTGGACCACATGCAAAAGTCTCAGCAGGTAAAACAATGACAAGTTTTCCGGACAAAAGTTGGGAAAGATGTGCAGGGGTTTTAATATCGAATTACCGAATTACATACTGCATGCACAAATGCATAGAGAGAGGGAGAGAGAGACTGAGATGTAAACTATACTAGGGTGACATGACACAGGAGTTGTGAAAAGTACCTCCAAATTTTTGTGGCTAAGTCATGAGGTTTGGCCGGGGGGTCCGTAACTCCTATGTCATGAAGCTAAAGCCTCTAAATCAGAGATGTCAGAGCATATCATCAACGATCTCTCAAATCGTAAGACTTTGGTGTTGTAGGAATGGAAAAGCACCGGAGAGATAGGAGTTTGAGTGCAAAAACACATAGAGGTAAACTTCAATGACATAGTCAGGTGCACTAAAAGATTCAGGACAGGGGCCTAAGTCACATCGCCAAATGCCTTGCGGAATTTATGCTTAGCAGGTGTGAGTGTTGAGTCAGGGACCCTTTTTTCCACGATCCCTACAAGCTCCCTAGCCATGTTTTTTCATTCTCCTTGATTAAAACTCGATCAAATCTTGAGGTTTTCAAGTTCACAAAGGGTACCCCTCACACAGGCCTCACGGTTCATACAGAATCCTATCAACTATCATCCATTATCACATCATCGTCTTTAGTAGGAGGACAAGGACCCCTATAAATTGTGGGCACTCTGCATCCAATCACTCTCACGTAAACAGACATCACGCTAAAAAGACTCACCAAAACTAGCACTAGTCTCCTTCTGTTCTGCCGACTTGGCTTGCCAAGCATCCTTGGAACCGTCCGGCAACCCACACTGGAATGAGGGGTGCAATCATGAACCAGAGAGAGTCCTATGTCTTAGGACTGCACTGTGCACCTAATCACTGTTACCCAAGCGGAAATCACATCTCCAAAAGCACGCTCACCTGCAGAGAGCAGCAATTTCCTCCTGTTCTGCCGGCGTTGCTGGCAAAGCATCCTTGGCACCATCCGGCAACCCACAATGGAGAAAAGGGTGGAATCGTTGTCAAAGACCCCTATGACCTAGGACTTGCGGGCACTCTGCATCCAATCACTCTCACCTAAACAGACATCAGACAAAAAGTTCACCACAACTAGAACTAGTCTCCTTCTGTTTGCCGACTTGGCTTGCCAAGCATCCTTGGAGCCGTCCTGCAACCCACACTGGAATGAGGGGTGCAACCATGAACAAGCGCGAGTCCTATGTTTCAGGACTTGTGTGCACTGTGCACCTATAATCATCTTCAGCAGAAATCACATCTCCAAAGCACGCTTACCTGCAGAGAGCAGCAATTTCCTCCTGTTCTGCCGACGTTGCTGGCAACCCACAATGGAGAAAAGGGTTGGTTCTACAGAAACCCACAGCCCAGGTCATCACTTTTGAACCACCTGTTTCTTTGTATGCGTCCAGAAACCGTACTCAGTGCACTCCTGTCTTGTCGGTGCTTAAAGCCTAAGTCACGCATTCCATTTCAGCGGCTTTGTGTGGCTCGTGCATTGGTTTTTGAAACAGGCAAACGTCCTAAGTCATCACACCCCATACATCGAGCAAGAGAACCCACAACAATCCATGACATACGACTATTGCAAAGAATAAAGACATAGTGACGTTCCTATGACATGTTCTCTTTCATTAGCTCTAATCTTCCAGGAAGAGGACCGGCAAATACCGATGATAACGGGTCAAGCTAGCCTATGTCATGAATGTTTGCCATTGAAATGGCCAATTTTACACCTCGACTTAGGACTTTCCCTCCGCAAACCTGGACCACTTCATATCGGACCACTTTGGCTTAAGTCATCTGACCCCAGTATATATCATATCGGACTAGTTTCTTCTTGGGTGGAGGCCGTTGGGCGTTTTTCAGTCAGGCCGCCCGGCACCCACAAGATTATGGCGACGCAAACACGAACGACACGCTGAGGACTTCGCTCACGGATGACGTGTGCTACAAGGGCTCTGGGTCTGACTGCCTCAAAGCATATGGGTCACGTGGATGCCTTCAGAGATGTGAAGTGGAGGTGGTGGGAATGGAACATGGACTTCCTACTAAAGCTTATTTAACGTGTATGGAGAACACATAGGAATGGGAATCTGAAGGACATCTTGGGCTTTTTGCCATCTACTCTGAAACCACTGTAAAGGGACAAAGCATGGGCATGGGGCAACCGTGACGCGAAAATCCCTCATCGGATCCTTTGGCAGATCAGAATCATTGAGGAAGAGAGCATTGGGAAACCTGGTTCCACTTGGTCTCTTCTAATCTCTTACAACAACATAAGTATATATATACATATGGATGCACACACACATATATATATATATATTGTACGTATGTATGTGTATAAATATATATATATATTATATATTATATTATATCTAAATATATGCTGTATATACGTGTCAAGTCAGGTTTGTCTCCTGAAATTCAGGAAGCAGGCGATAGGGCGTGCCATCGGAGCAGGCAGGGGTCTTGACAGCTTCCCAGGTGTGCAGATTTGGGAGCTGTCCAGCCCGCGGGGTGTGCAGCGTTTGTTGCTCCAACCAACGTTTGCTTCTCTTTTTGATGCAACCTAGGCGAGTGGCATGTCAAGATCTAGCCAAAAGTGATTCCAAGAAGGCGCTCAGGAATGCTGACACCTGCCGGCATTTAGAAGCCTTTTGTTGCAACAAGAGCTGAGCTCCAGAGAGATCAGGAGGGTACATATGGGGTAGGCCAAGCTGCAAAAGCTTCAGCGTTGACCCCAAAAGATTCCAAAAGGATCCATTATTCTTCAGCCAGATCCTTGCTGGAACATGGCAGCATCATGGAATTCTGCAGTCGTTGGTTGAAAGGTGTGCTCACATCAGTGGTTATTAGTACACTGACACTTGACTTGGAGATGTCTTGGAAAACTCATCCCCAGACGGGGTGTCTTTGTACAGTTTTCATAACTTGAGTCACTGGAGTGTAGGAAAGGGGTTGTAAACCATGGTGTAGTAACTAAGTAGTAATCACAACTAGAATCTTCCGGATGATCGTACGATGTTAGACAATCTTGGGTTCAGGTGTTAAGAAGTCCGTATAGAAAGGCGATGCTGGAAGAGTATAGGTGGCCAAATTATGTTCCATTGGCCACTTTGGGAAAGTGTCACGCACAGCATGCAATGAAGGACAACTTTTGCTTCTTCGTGAACGACGCTTGGCAATGGATGAGGCGAATGTCTATTTGAACCTTGAGTGGGATCAAATCTTGTATATACTGTAGGAACCTCTGTAGGTGAATCATGGCATGACCATGGCCACCCCATCATCCACAAACACCCAGGGTCTGAAGTGAGCCTTTTGTACATCTTGGCACTTGTCCTCAGTTACCAGACGGGCTCTTAGTCGGAGCCATCTGTCCGATTCCGTTTTTTCTTGAGTAAAATGGTGATTCCAACATGATGCAATGCTGGGGTTCATTTGCGCAAAGGAGTCTCAAACTCAGTCCAGAGGATTTCGGAGGAGACTCCAATACCACTTCCAATACCTAGCCGCTGGCTTCTGAATATGCCATTGTTGGGCACAGATATTCAGCTTTTTTGGAAGCGGGGGCGCCGGGCAGTTCTAGGCACCTTTCATTGCTTCCATTGGACACTGTGAAGTTTCATTGTCCACTGATGGAGACTAAGGACATTCAGCCTAACGCAGTAACACCAAGCTGCCCCGAATTGCCCCGATGCTCTTTTGACCCAACCTGCTCATGCAGTGGAGGCCAGGCAGCTTGAGATTGTCCTTTTGAATGCTGAGACACAATGAGCATTTAAGCTCCATTTGTCACTTAAGTTGTGCGTTCGCCCGAGCAAAAGGTTGACCAACCTTTGACTTGGACGATCAGATTCTTTGCGCCAAAAACGCATTGTTGTGGCTTGAAAGAAAGACTTGATCCTTAAGCGGTACGGATGGTGTACATCAACCAGGTGTACCACAGATTCTGTAGATGTACCACAATCCTTCACAGATGTACCACAGTCCTTCGCAGATTTTGCATCCTTTACTCAAATCATGGCAGGTCTTGTGAAGAGGGAGGAGCAGACGTCCACGGGCAGTGTTTGCAACTCGCTCAGGCAACCATCATGGCGGCAAGGCAACACTGATTTTTGGTGAATTTCATGTCCATTCATGTCTTCATTCCTAGCAGCTTGTCATACTAGTATATGGCTGTTTGGTAGGGATTTCGATGAAGTAGTCGAAGTGGTTTTAAGTGAGCTGTTGTGCCTTGTGCTACTCTTATCGGCCTTCCGTTTGATGCTCGAACAGAGAACCAGTGAGGAGAGGATGGGTTCAATTGTAGTGCCTGTTCACCATCAGCAGCTTCCACAGCGCACAGCCAAGGTTACACCTGTGGCAAAACACCTTCGAAGTTGCTCGCCGGAACTTGAAGGGATCAGGATGTCCCTCCCATCCCGTGATATGGCGTGCCCCTCGCCCTATCGTCCAGCCCATCGTCGAGGGAGTCTTCAATGAGTAAGTTCAGTAAGCCAACTTCTCCGTGGGCTGGCAGGGCGTCTTTAATGGGCGCAGCGTCAGCAAGTTGAAAAACTCACGATCATGACATCCCCACGGGCCCCCCCGGGGCCAAGTGAGAATGCTAACGAACAACCAACCATTTGGCGCCCTGGTTTGGTCGCTTCTTCCCCGCCAGGAAACCGTTGAAGAAGCATGCGCACGGATCAACCAGCTCCCTGGCAAGATAGTTTTCTTGGATGCGTGTCATGGTCTCGGGGGAAAAGAGATGTATGAAGCGCGATTTGAAGTGGTCTAGGAATTTGTGCCAGCTACATTGGTTTCTCCTCCTCCTTCCATGATTGTTCACAGGCTGGTGTAGGTAGACCCTGAAGGAATCAGAAAACACGGCCGCGGGCTAGCCCCTCGGGCCAATCTTGAAGACTTGAAGACATTTCCGCCATATGTTGTTACAGCATGTGGGCATGTTTGGTGTCGGCTGGGGCTGTGGCCTTGACCTAGGGAGGCGGAGAGAGAGAGGCACTGAGAGCTTTTCCCGAAGAATGGCTCAAGATTTCGGCTCAAAGCTTTGAGGTGGCTCAAACTGGTGTGAGCCTCAAGGACACCGTGCAGGGCACTGGCACCACTTCTTTTCGTTTGCCTGGGTTGAATCCTTTGAGATCGGTGGCCTTGCCCTCATGGTGAGCATCAATGAGAAGCATGGATGGGATGGTTGGCAGATGGCCAGACGCAGGGGCAGACGATCCTACCTGGTGTGTGGCGGCTGTGAGGCCTCGTGGATCTGGACAGACCGTGTCTCGGACTCCAGGTGGAAATGTGACAAGTGGCATACACCGTGGCCACAGACAACCTGGAGCCCAACGTGGAGACAGCACCGTTTCAGAAAGGACAAAACGGTGCTTGTCGATCGACCGCCAGGCCTTGGGCAAAGGCAAAAGGGCTCCCCAGTGGAGACTGCTCTCAAGAAGGGTTGGACGGGTCTGAGCAAAGATGTACAGGAAGCTTTGAAGGTCGTAGGCATCGACTACACCCCAGAGCCGGAACTCCTGCCACTTGAGGTGATACTGCAGGCCACCTGGAGGTGCTTCCCAAAGAGGTCAAGGAGGCGGGCCTCAAGCCAGCGGCTGCTCCAGTTGATGTCACCGGACAGCTAAAGGCCACAGTTGGTGAACTCCGCCAATTGGCACACAAGAAGCCAGCTCTTCAGAAGAAAGTTGACCAGGCCAAGGACAGCTACAAGACCTTGCTTGACGAGCTCAAGTCCGTTCAAGAGGCCATTGATCGAGAGCATAAGCAACTTGGCACCCAGTCGGAAGCTTATGCGCACAGCACAAATGATTGCCAAAGTCCAAAAAGGAAGTGTCAAACAATTTTTGTCCATGGGGGCTGACCATGTTCATTGACATGACCTATCTTTAAGGATGACACCCCAGGAAATAAATTACAAACATGTCCAAACACAACCCCCTACCCCAGAAACAGCCCGAATGACTCACAAAGTCCAAACATAAAGTGCCAAAACAATTTTGTCCATGGGGGCTGACCATGTTCATTGACATAACCTATCTTCAAGGAAGACACCCCTGGAATTAATTTACAAACCTTTCCAGACACCACCCCCGAGTCCAGACACAGCACCAATGATTCACAAAGTCCAAAAGGGAAGTGTCAAACAATTTTTTCCATGGGGGCTGACCATGTTCATTGACATGACCTATCTTTAAGGATGACACCCCAGGAAATAAATAACAAACCTTTCCACACACAACTACCCCCACTCCAGACACAGCACCAAAGACTCAAAAAGTCAAGAAACTCAATTTGGAATATTTTCCATGGGGGCTGACCATGTGACCTATCATACCTATCTTGAAGTAAGACGCCTGAGGAAATAAATTACAAACATTTCCCTGCCAGTTGAACATTGCAAACACATTGCAGCTGACATCGCTGCCTTCCTCGGAACTCTTCAAAACCCCAAAAGCTGCAAGCGCTCGGGCAATGTTGAATCAATTGTCGGCAAATTTGACAGGCATCCACCCCGCTAGCTTTCACAATCTGTCACCAATCCCCCCTGCCTTTTCCCGTCAAGAAGATTAAGAAGTTATAGAAGTTGTTATTGAGGGGGGGGGGTCAGGGGACAGGATAAAAAATGTAAGCTTAAAAGTTGTTATTGAGGGGGGGGGGTCAGGCGACAGGAGAAAAATCATGAACTTAAAAAAGTTGTTATTGAGGAGGGGGGGGGTCAGGGGGCAGGCTTTAATTTATTGTTATATCGTGATCATTAGCGACTACCCCCCCCTCTTCTTGGCTTATTTGAGGGCCTTCTCTCAGAGGTCTGCTCCAATGGAAAAATGCAGGTCAGCTCGCTGATACATTTTTATTGTTCTTGTCAGCTTGTCGCAAAAAAATGTTCATGATCGATCGAGTTCAATTCTAACAACCAATAACCAAAGCATTAATGAATTGGACCATGCCTTCTCGTTCGTGCCAGCCACAACTCAACGATCATGGCAACCGTGTTCAGGCTCAGATGGCAGTTGCACTATTCGTGATTACCATGCTATAGAAAACATGCATGACAAGACTAGCATGGTGCAAACGCTTTCACTTGCAGTGCATTCGTTGTTACAACGCTTCACTTATAGCGCATTTTTTGTTAACGGCTCTCATTCGGCCCAATGTCGGAGCCCGTTGACATCGAGGACACGTTGGCTTGGCGGGTCTATGTCCTGGAAAAGACCCTCACGAGATTGCGTCGGTCACTTCAGCCGTTCATCCATGACAAATGGACCCAGACTGACAATGGTCAGCCACCTACACCGGGCCGCGAATTGACACCCACCAAGCTTCGACGACAAGCTTCACAAGGTGACACAACTGCCCCATTAGGCAGCTACTTGCGGCTGATGGATACACCGCGCGATGCCGAGCCCGCTGACCGAGTTGATCGATCCCGCAGTCCATCCAGACCAGTTTTTCGAGGTCATCCGGACACCTCCTCATAGATTTGGTCGCTCGCAGTTCGGCCAGATCACCAACATGTGTGTCGTGGAGTTTTTCAAAGAGAGCCAGGTGACATCCGATGACACTGCTGTTTGGCGCCTGCGCCCTGAGCCAACTTTTCTTTCTTGCCTCGATGAATGCATCTTGGCCAATTTTTGACCGGTTTTAGCTGTGCTCCACAGCCCTTTGGTGAATGCACCACCTCCACCATAGGCCACTTTTTGACTGGATTTTCGCTGTAGCTCCACCACTCCCTGGTGAATGCACCACCTTCACTTCACACTAATGAGCAAACAAGTCGCCGCCACTTGCTCTCCCTCTTCACTGCTCTTCTTTTAAAGGGGGTTGTTGCAAGACCTGTGAAGATGTGCTTTGTGAAAGTTGTGTTCCTTTGTTCAATTGAACATGTTCCGTTATTTTCATCTTTGAGCATGTGACAGGGTTCGTCGTTCCATGTCAAACTCAGTTCGTGCTTTGATTCGCTTCGGATTGCCGTGAAGCACGAATCATGCGTGAGCATTCGTGAATGCACGGCAGTAGCCGGGCCAGCGAGGGCGGCCGGGCGGGGGAGCGCTTCTGTCATGTTTGAGGCGAGTGAGACATTGATCAATCTCTTTCTTGATCGGTCTGTTGTGGAATGCCACTACAGCTTCTTGAATGTGCCTCAAATTTCTCTTGTGAGGCGACAGATTCGCCGTGTAGGTTTTCTGGTGCCGATGGAGGCCCTATATGCACATGTGTTGGACTGAATGCAGATCAACTGTTTTTTCTTAGTCATCTCGATGAAATCACGTGTGCCCCATCCATTTCCAGGTACCCCAGATTCGCCTTGTGGGCCTTTGGGCGCTGATGAAGGCCCTTGCATACACACGCTTTGAACTTGAACGCAGTTCGTATGTTTCCCCTTCATGTGTGTACGCGCGCATCCTCCAACTTCAGGTACCCACGATTCGCCTTGTGGGCTTTTGGGTGCCGATGAAGGCCCTTGCATGCACACGTCTTGAACTTGAATGCGGTTCGAATGTTTCCCCATCGTGTGTTTACGCGCACCTTCTCCAACCTCAGGCACACCCGATATGTCGGAACCTCATTTTTCGACAGAACTTCCTGGAATCTTCGAACCAGAGTTCGTGCCCGCCGTTGACGATCGTCAATCGATCATGACAGATAGTCCTAGAGGATTCAGGAAGCGTTGGGCTCAGAAGAGAAAGCTCCCAGATCCTGATATTTCGTTTGTTGAGAACGAAGTCACGATTCCTGTCCCCGAGCCACAGGACCTTCCGTCATTAGGTCCTGACTATGAGAAGACCATCAACGCTGCCTTTCAGAGATGCAGGCCAGATTCTTTAAAGCTTCCGTGGGAACAAGGCCCCTTTTCATTCATTTTTGGGAATCGCAAATCCCTCCCTCTTGATTGCTCGAAGCAGCCTGTGGTGAGTTCATTTGTACCGATACGAGTTTTGCCTTTGAGTTCATCATCGTCCTCCTTTGACCGCAGTCAGACCAGAGGAACGATGGATGACAGAGCTCCTCAACCCGTCACGTCTTGGTGCATCCGTGTCACTTGCACGCATGAGGACGCGGCAAAAGCTGCGCTCGAGCAGAGGGCACGTGCAGTAGGGAAGTGGTATAAACTAGTTGAGGAATATCCTTATGCTTCAAGCACAGGAATGCAATTGCTGGTCATGAAGTCACAAGGTGCACAGGTCAGTGCTTGCAAGGATTCATTAGACGACGTCTTTGGAATGAAAGCAGCAGGCACGCTGAACAAGAGGGTCGCATCACTATGGAGATATGTCACCTGGTGCAGGACGACAGGACATCAACCTTTTCCCATGTCTGAGCCCGTTGCATATGAATATGTCAGATATTTGGACGTGTGTGCTGGTGCCTCTGCAGCAGCTTCCTTTCGCGAGGCCATAAATTTCGCCATCCACATTGTCGGATTCAGCATCGACGAATCTATCACAGCATCGAAGCGCATACATGGTTCTTGCCAAAAACAACTAGCAAAGAAGGGTTTCATTGCACAGGCTTCACCCTTGACGGTCGACCAGGTGAAGAAGTTAGAAGCCTTTGCTTGCGATGCAGCCGAACATTATGACCGTTTCGCTGCAGGATGTCTGATTTTAGCCCTGCTAGGGAGGTGCAGATGGTCTGATTTCTCTTGGGTGGAACGTCTAGACCTGAGTGATCCCTGCTTCGTCGAATTTGGAACGAGCGTTCACAAGACTGCTGGCCTCATGGGAAAACGAAACATGTTGCTCCCCATCATCATCCCAACACGGTCCATGAGTGAACATCGTTGGTTTGACTATTGGTTGGACGCGGCTGAGATCCTGGGCCTTGGCCTTGAAAGGATACCTCTAGGTCCTGTCCTGCCGGCTTTAGACATCAAGGGCAAAGCAATCCAGGTTGCAGTGAGCAGCAAGGAGGTCACGCATTTGTTGAACTTGATTCTAGAGCCCAACCCTGGGCAGAAGATCAGCTCACATTCCCTCAAGGCCACTTGTTTGTCCTGGGCTGCGAAAGCAGGCCTGACGCTCGAGCACCGTGAGATCCTAGGGAGGCACAGCAGGTCCAGTTCAACCACCAGTGCCCTCTATTCGAGGGACTTGCAAGGAGGCGCGCTTGATGCGTTTGATGACATGCTCACAAAAATCACCAGAGGCATATTTGTTCCCGATGCAGTAAGGAGCGCTAGGTGGCCGAAGGCCGGGTCAGGACCTCTCATCGACTTGACCATCCATGAGTCCGAGCCGGAACCTGTCAAGCATGAACCTGACACCGCACCAGAAGCAGAGCTCGATGTTGATTTTGATTCAGAGCAAGAATCTGAGGCCTCCTCCTTAGGGATTGTTGAGCTAGAACCACGCGGTGGCGCAGGCCCTGAGAACGAGTGCTATGTCCTCTCTGCCAGGTTCCTGTCAACATGAAACATCTGGTCTGGCAATGCAGCTACCATGAGGGAGAGCTTCCCCACGAGTGGCAATGCAGCATTCAAGCCAATGAGGACACCATGTTGTGGGCACGTGGACTCATTGAGGCCCCATCGTTCATGCCAGTTGACGGCCCTGAGTCGCGCGAGGTCACTGGGATCTTTGCCAGAGGATGGCCGGTTCGGCTTAGCCCTGCTCACAAATTGGCCATTGGTGTGCATGCAACCTGCCAGGATCTTCGGCTCAAAAAGATTGCGGTGCCTTTGACAGTTGGGACGTGGCATGAGGGCTCGTGGCAAATTGAGGGCACGTGCACTGCTCTGGCACCTGGCCAGGCGACGGACGCTCGAAGTTGGGTTTTCGGCTGTTGGCTCCTCCTACAAGCAGTCCTGGGTCGTCATCAATTGAACATTCCCAACCGAGCTGGGTGGGCAGCGCTGCAGAAGGGTGGAGACAGCAAGGTGGCACCTGATCTTTGGCACAACCTGCCAGCGGAGGAGTGGCAGAGACTTCATTTGCTGCATGTTCCCACCAAATTGACGCGTCGGGAAGAGCATGACACCAAAGCATGGCTGCAGTATGTTGAGGCCAAGTTGGCGGCCAAATCCAGAGCTGCCAAGGAAGCGCCAAGTGCCTGGGTCACTGAGCTCAAGGAAGCGGACCTGAAGCATCAGCAGATCTATGAAGCTGCCGCCCGCCGGATCAGTGCGATTCTGGGTGACAAGGAGCATTTCATGCATGGCAAGCTTGAAAAGGTGGAGCCTGTTCCAGACGTTCGGCCGCACAAGCCTAAGGGGCGTGTTGACTTGTTCAACCAGCTTGTGCAGCAAACCCCTGTTGATGGGCAACACAAATGGCAGCATCAACGTTCTGGTGTAGTTTGTGAATACTGTGGCAAAAGAATCAAAGCCTGTAGCACTCACAGTGAGATCAGCCAGAAACAAGCCACAGCTTGCCCTGGTTCAGTCACAAAGACTCTGAAGCAAGCCATGTCTGAATTGGTGCAGGACACGGAGGGCAAATTAGATGAGCAGCCAGACCACAAATGGGAGATCAGGACCAACAACTTTGGATGCATTCGGTGTGGGCCAAGATCCCCCTTAGAAGTGGCAAGGCAGCATTGGAGCAGCTGACTTGAACAGAATGTAGGCATGGGAGGTTGGAAGATGATGGAACGATCCTCAGAGTCCGAGTGCACCACACTCATGTGGTCTTGAGAAGGGGCCAGTGGCTTGAATGCCAGAAATGCAGGCGCATCTCGAAGGAGCAGGATGGGAGAGTTCAGTCGTGGTTGACAAAAGGATGCGCTAGCAAGTCAGGTCAGACGACCTTGAACTTTGGGCCAAGCTCGGACAGCTAAGGAGATTGTGGAGGTGGCGGATTGTTTTCCAGCTGGTCCAAGGCGAAGAGAGCCTTGCCAGCAGCCACTTTTGGCCGAGAGGCCGTGGCATTGAGCGTGCAGATGCAAAAGAAGCGAGAAAAACAAAAGCTTTTCCCGAAGTTGGTGCTTGTGCGCATTGCACCTGAAAAGCTGAGCTGTTTGGCATTCCCTTTAGGCCCTTTGAGGTCCTAGTCTCCGCATTCATGTTAATTTTGTTGCACCTTCGCACTGAACATCGACTTGGACATGTTCACATAGCTGACATAGCTCATTGCGATGACATGCGATGCAGCCAGATGACACCGTTATGGTGCAAGTAGAAGCACACGCTGATGTCCATACCAGCACTGTTCTGCTCAATTCATCTCAAATCACTTCCGCTTGGACCAGGCCGGGCCGGTCTGAATCCGCTCCAGGTGGTGTGTGCCCCAGCGATGACACCGGCGGCACCTGTCGGATCTTCCTGTGTAGCCGAACGCGAGGTGCGGAAATGAGCCATAGGGAGCGATGGGTCGGTGGGCGCATGTGGGCGCCCCAAAGAAAAAGGAGTGCCTGTATAACAACTATATACTGTATATGTATATACACAATACATTACAATACAATTATACTAGGCTGAAATGACAAAGGACTTGTGAAAACTACCTCCAAATTGCGGCGGCTAAGTCATGAAGGTTTAGCCTACCCGGGCCTACCCCCCACAAGTATTATGTCATGAAGCAAAAGCTTGGAAACACATCAAAATCAGAGATGCCAGAGGTTGTCACCAAAGATCCTAAAAACAGTTGATTTTATATTGACAAGCATCATGACATACGACTTTGGTATCTAAACAATGAATAGACCATCGAGAGATAGGAATTTGAGAGCAAAAACGCACTAAGTAATGTGTTCTGAATGAGACAGGACAGGATTCCTAAGTCCCAATTGGCCTAAGTCACCTCACCCTAATCTTCCAGGAGCAAGCCCCCCACCACCCCCCCCCCCCAAAAAAAAAAAAAAAAAAAAACTCAGGACCAGGTCAACAAGGCCTATGTCATGAGTGTGTGCCAATGAAATTGCAAATTTAACATGTGTACATGACTTAGGACTTGCCCTGGGACAGTTGTATGTCATTTCGACCCAATTGGCCTAAGTCATCTCACCCTAGTATATATACCTCTATTAGTTTTTGTGCCCATATAATATATATATTTACTATTTGTACGTATGTGAATAAACAAAACACAAATAAATATGTATGTACTTAGTTATTTACTTATTTGTGACAGAGGTGCAAGGCATGATCAACTGTGAGTCCCGGGCTCACGCACTAGTTGGATTGGTAAATAGTATTGTACAATTGATTAAATGGATCATGTCACCAATGTGATCACAAGTCTCAGAACAGTCGAAATGGCTACAGGGCAGCTCAAGGGTTTGAGGATTTGAGAATTAGGTTGATGTCCACTAGGTCCTATTGATCATTTTTGATGTTGTTGCTGACCCCTCTCCTGACCACAGGACCTACGATGTGCTCGAGTGGCAAATGCTTCTGCAGACCCGGTCTTTGCGCTGAGGACGCGTCATGACGCATGTGCAAATGTTGAGTACCATCATGTTGTTGATGGTTGCTCAATCCAAAGACCAAATGCAGCTTGTTACGTGATTGGTTTTGGCGGCCACCACCTATTAGACATGGAGAAGGCATGACCTCATATAAGGCTTCTAAACCAGTTGTTCAGGGATATTTTTTCCCATGCCTTGATTTGTTCGCGTGCCCTTCAGGATGGCTACTGTGTGCCACCCAAGGTTATGTCCTCCGATTTGGGCAGCGGTCCCGATCAGGAGAGGTGGGAGAGGTGGAGATGATTTGAACCATTTTGATCTCGTGGATGCCTATGGAAAGTCCATGACTTTCCCCAAGCCAAGTATCTTCCTGAAGAGGACGACGCACCAGAAAGACAGAAGTTGAGCGGCACTTGTTCCGGGAACAGACTCTCAACATACTGACATAGGCATTCTCTACCAAGTCAGTGGACAACCTTTAACCATTTTGGGAGGCAAGATTCCCCACTGAAAGCCAATCCATGAGTATCAACATGAGCATCAATAGTCGCAGGAGTTGTTGGTGGTGATCGTTGTTCCTTGATGTTCCTTGTATGTCTCCCGGGCAGAGACCCAGAAAGACTCATGAAAGACCCAGGATCCATCCAGGTGGGCCCCTGTGGCCTGGCCGCGCCGAGGTTCAGTGCACGCTTGAACACCAAGTCGTCACGACCCTGATGACCTCAAAGGACTAGGACTCACCATCCCAACAGAGGCGTTCGCCAGGCACAGCGAGGCGACAAAAGACTTTGTGTCCAAAGTAGCCTCCCTTTTCGAGCCCATCACTCCAGCCGTGGGAGGACTCCCACATTTGCCTATGACCTCATCACATCATCCATTAGCTCTTCAACTTGGAGTCCTTCCTACCCCTCGTGATTGGGTTCGACACCGGGTTCACCGGCTCTTCCCATCCCCCGGTTCGATCCCGGGTGCTGTCCGGGACGTTCCAACGTTCCGACCAAAGGAGTGCCAAGTCGACACCGGAGGGACCTGCAAATTCTTGTGGTGTTGGCACGGGCGAGGCGGGGTCTTCAGAGTCCGATGGATGAGGTCTTCAAAAGGTTGATGGCATTTGATGGCTAATAAGTGTTGATAGTGGCGTGCTCCTAGCTGATTGAAGAGGTGTCGCGGTAGACACTGATGAGAAGTAAAGTGCAAGGTCATGGCTCGAGTCAGCTCGAGTCTAACGTTTGCCAGCCCATTGGTCTCCAAATGGCTTTGAAATATTGACGACCAAGGTTCCTTCACTTGAAACCTCTACCCAGACATACCCAGACTGAAAACGGCCTCGGTCGGCTTCAGGCCCTACCAACTGCATCGATGGGAAATGTCAATGTAGAGAAGGCTATTGTCAGAAGGCGCGAATGACCGGCCTTCTCTCCGAAGAATAGGAGGCACATTCAGAAGTGAAGTGGACATGAGAACGGACCATATTCAGTGGTTTGGGCAACCCTGAGCAGAACTCTTTGCCATAGAGGACTTCTCAATTGCTCGAACGTGCTCGAACCTCCCACTGACCCAGCTCTATGACCTTGTGGCCAAGCACAAAATTGTTGTTCCGAGAGGGAACGTGTCCCAAACACAGGTGTCGAACTTTTAAAGGTCCGAAAACTTGTTGCAGTATATATATACAGTTATAAAATGTTAATATATACACACATATATATACATATAGATATTAGCTTTGCCAAAAAATGAACGTGGGTTTTTCTCAGCAAGGTCTGCGCCGCCACATTCCAGTCTCTTCACAAAGCGTTGTGTTCTGTTAGAGGTCCCCAGACAAATATGTCGCAACTGTATCGATCTATTGTGTTTGCGTGATGGATACTTCTTGGACCATTTTCTGCGATGACTCTCCTTTGACATCTCCCAACCATTTCCGGGAGGAAACACATCGACAGGTTTCAGAACACCCCCGCGCCGATCGGTCGCGGCTCAAGCCGCGCGCGAGCGACCGCGCCCTGACCCACTGAGGATGGGACATGTGAACCAAAGTTGCAGAACTGAGAGCGGGTTTTTCCGCGCGTCAGGACGGGCTTTCGGGACCCAGGGACGGTGCGAGCGCCTTGAAATTGTTCGTGGTAAAGGTGAAAACATGGTGTTCAGTGAGGTGACTGGAGCATGGGTGGTTGGGGAAAGTCCGGATTGATCTGCAGATTGCAAGTCTTTTGATTTCAATGGGTGATCAGATCCACAGAAGCAAAGATCCAGAAAACGGCAGCTGTTTGAATTAGGTCCCAAGTGTGTCCAGTGGAATAGGCTGGGAGTCTTCTTTGATTCAGCAAAGCTCCATAGTTTCGACCACCTATAATGGGATTTGCGCCACAGTTCCGAGCGAGACTATTAGTTCTATACTCAACCCCACCTGCCTGAGGAGAGCAACCTGATCATCACCGGGATGCGGCATGATGGCATGGATCTAGTACGGCGGCGCGTCGCATCTACAAACGATGCGACCGGTGAAACCGGGTTGCGGGCCAAAGGGGCCAAGAGGCACATGAAGGCCAAGAGGCACATGAAGGCCAAGAGGCACATGAACATGCAAGGAATTGGTCCTCGTGCAGAGTCGAGTCCTCGTTGGTCACGTGTAGAAAGAAAGAGAGGTCCGTTTGATCGATGGCCGCAGTCAAAGAACTTGTGGCATTATTGCTTTGTGGCGGAGCACATTAGAAGCCTCCACCCATCTTCAATCGAGGGTCAACGTACGATGTGCGGCAGCTCTAAACGCCATAGCAGGAAATTACAGGATTGGCTGTTCACTGTTCCAAGTGTTTATAAGGCATCCGAACCCTTGTTCAGTTGAGCAATCCGAAGAGATAGGAAGGCTAGCGACGTGCTGGAGAGTTGTCAAGGATTGTGAATAATTATTGATCCGTGTTCTGGCAGAAATTCACTAGAACATACTGGAACCACTTCGGAGATCACACATGCTCACATAGAATCCATTTGGAGAAATGTCTCGGGGGAGCCTTTTTCCGAAGGCAATGGACCCACTCCGCGACTGGGTAAAAAGGCAGGCGCTGCACTGCAGCGGCGATGGAGCGGATCGGCGTGATTGATGCCCAAGACATTCTTAACATTGTTAAGATATGTTAAGATTGTGAGTAAGACGCGAAATAAAAAAGAACATAGTAGCGATGGCCTCCAACCTACTAGCGATGGCCTCCTTAGTGCAGAAATGCTTTGGGGAATGCCTATTGGAATTTTGGATCATTTTGGGCACTTCTATTGAAACGTTGCAATTCCTCTTGATGGAATTCCTGATGATTGAACTATTTTGTCTCGCAAGACTGCAACGGCCAAAGATACACCCGCTACCATGTATGCAACCATGTTTTGGTGCAGTGAGACTAGACCAAGGAGTCGTTGATCACTTTTCCTCAGTTCCGAAGGGGCCCGCTCCCAGGTGAATACAAGCAGTTCCAAGCCCCAAGAATCCCCCAGCTCAACGGTGTTCAGCAGAGGGTTTTCAGCAGTAATTTCCTGCTTTGGATGTCCATGTTCAACCATCTAGGAAGATAAGGAAGACAGCTATCAGCAGCAATTTGATGCCAGGGAATTGACTCCACCTCCACTTTGATCGTTCTCTCAGAGTTACTGGGTGCGATATTGCGAAGGAAGACAGAAACGCTCATGGGCCTGTTCGAACCTATTCTGTCAGCTTTTGTTTTTGACAAGATCCATCCAAACCCACAAAATCAAACAAACTTCTGACTTTGAATCCACTTGGTCCCGCCCGAAAACGCGTCCAACCCCAGACCCATTCCGTTTCGGCCTGCTCATACAAATGCTATGAAAAAGCATCCAAGAATGTGTGAAAAAGGCTGTCTCCTCCGCGGTTCAACGGCGCAAACCGGCGTCCAGCACCACGGTAACGCCAGGTGGCCTGGGCTCGGGTGGAGCTGCCCTTGGCTTTGTTGGACCAAGCGGCGAAGGACGCCCAGGAAGCGGAACAAAGCCTGGCCATTGGGTGCTTTGGCTTTCTTGATGTTTTTGGAACGGAGGAATGGAGCTTTAATGGAGCGGTTTGAGTGGAACCCGATCTTTTGTTCAGTTGACTGTTGACTTTGCGGGGGTTCTTGTCACGAAAGATAGCACCAGCTAGCTGGAGTTGTTCTTGCTATAGCAAGTGGGGTCATAACTTCATATTTGGTGGCCCCCCCCCGGAGGTTCAACTCCTTCCTGGGGCGTCTCTGGGAATCAAAGTCCTGCCAAGTGCACATCTCAGGCTGCAGTTGGTTCAGTGGCATCGTGGCACCTAGCCGAAAGGTTCGGCAGTGGCAGTGAACGCTTTCGAGATGTGACCGTGGCATACCGTGGCGTTTCGCTGGGAGAGTCGGCTGGAAGACTTGTGACTTGTATTGTTTGGTTGGGTGCAATTTGGTGCGTCCTGACTACAATGACTGCATATGACTGCAGGAAGCCCAAATCACGCCAGCTCCTGGTGTGACGGTGTGACAAAGATTCGCAGTATTTTTCAGTCTCACTCTGCGTCGGCCAGTTTGGCCGCCTCCACCAAGTGGAACAGAAAAGAGACCAATAGCCGTCCAAAAAGTGGAACCGCCGGCGGTGTGTGGTGTGAGATGGAGGCCAGGAAGCAATTCTGAATAGCATGAACTGGCTAAAAGAATCGGAAAAACAAACTGAAAAGAACCGGCTTGAGAAGATGGTGGTGCGGTCTTTCAAGCCAGGACATGGTATTTGTTGTCCAGACTGTTGTCCAGACAAGTCCCGTTTTGCCGGAGTAAAGTCCGCGTCTCAAACCTTGAGGGACGTGAGAGGATTGAAGCGGATTCGTACCCGAAGCTGATCACTGGACCAACTTGAAGGGAGAAGTTGACCCTTGTTGACCGGTTTTGTGCATTTTGCAGGGAGCTGATTTCAGATATGGCGAAGAAGATGCAGAAGGGAATTGCGGTGCAGGGTTTGGAAATCCAAGCATGGCAAACCTGGCCCCAATTTCAAGTGAGCCTTTGCTCAGCGCATGTTCTTGCACAAGTCTGTGGACGTGTGGGGCAACACGGTGACACTTTGTGGGCATCTATTTAGATCAAAGATGATCAAAGGAAAAAAGTAATCAAAGCAACCAAGGGCAGGATCAATAACAAAATAAGATAAGAACAGGATCAATAAAAAACATCCTGAGTAGGTCCCCTGGTCCGCTGGCCTCGTGGTCCATTGGTCAATATTGGTCAAAAACACGATACTACCCGGTTGCCTTGGTCCTTTGAGTGCCCTTCGTTGATGAGGGGGTGTGCAGTTTTCGATGGTGATCTATTTAGTGATGCCTTTTGAGTCTGATGGCTTTTGACGTTTGGTTCACTCTGGGGAAGGCGCTGCACCCCTCCAATGCCACAAAATCTGCGCTACTTGTGCCAACGCACTGAGCCTACCAGGACAGATGTTCTAAAGGTCTCCCAGGCACCCATCGCTCACGCAAGATATTGCACGCACTCGCCTGACCCTTTTTGATGTTGCAAGCGGTTACATCCGTTCATTGTTCTGTGGCTCATCCCCTCATTGATGGGCAATAGGGTGCCGTAGTTTTCAATGATGATGTATTTAGTGGTGCCTTCAGCCTTTGATGGTGGCTTTTGTAGTTTGCAAGCCCGCTCCACCACCACGAAAAATGCACTACTTTGGTCAATGCATTGGGCCTGGCACGACCGACTTTCTAAAAGGTCTCCACACCAAATATTGCACACCCTCGCCTAAGAGTTTTGATTAGGCCATGTGTTGCAAGCATCCTCTCATCTCTCGCCCCTTTTCCTTTCACTGATTCACTGGGGATAGTTTTTGTTGATCCTCTATTTATTTTTTTGATCACCGACATATTTGTTTGATTTGTTTGATGTTGTTCTTATTCATTGATCGCTCACCCCACGTGTGGATGTGCCAAAAAACAACACGACGCGCTCACGTTTGACAATGCAGCTATTGTAGGCAAACACATTCTGCCGCAGCCAAGGGTGCCTTAAAAATCAAGATGTGAGTTGAAATCTTCTCACAGGGCACATCCATCCAAAGGGCGGCAGGGCACATCAATGAGCCTTGGCAAATTCACTGCAGCATTGGGACCAAAACTACAACTGCTCATGCAGACAAACCTAGATCCTACTCGGTCCTACCCAACTAGTCCCACAACATTCCACATTATTTGACAGGATTTTTTTAAGAAAGGCAATTCTCTTGCGCACCTTTCGATGAATTCCATGTTTGCCTGGATTGAGATGGGGTGCGGTCAATGATTTGTTCAAAGGAAACCCTCCGGTGTGAGGACAGGGAGGTGGTGGCATAGGGCAAGGGGAGTGGCAAGGGGTGGAGGACAGTTGGAGCTTACAGGACGGGAAACACGAGTCCGAGTGGCTTTGCCCGATAGCTTCCCAAGCATAGGCTGATCAAAAATTTGTAACTCGCTCCAACTGAAGCGTATTTCTGACACCTTCTTATATATCAAATCTATCAAGTAGGTCGCGGCCAGGTGTTCCCATCAATACATGTGTTTCTAGCTTGATAACAAGAGCGACAACAGGATCACGACGGCCAGGTTTTGGGGATTTGGCCAAGCTTTCCACTGGACACATGAAAGGTCATGAAAGGCTTCAGTGAACTGAGGAGAGCTCTTCTATGGCATGTATGCTTGCATGTGGCCTCGGGTGCATGGATCACTGGACAAGACGGCGAGTCCTGCACTGACACCTGCAATCGAACAGGTGCCTTGGTGTGACCAAAGTGTGTGTTTCTTGTGTGACATGGGGCTGTGCGTGGTCGGGGTTGCCGTTTGCCTGCCGGCCATGTTAAACAGAAGATGTGTAGGTACCTACCGTGGGGGGTGGGGACAAGTGCGGCTGCCAAGTGATGCTGCAGAATGCATTGAGGGTGCTTGATGCCCCAGGGCAGCTGGTCGCAAGAAAAGGGACGTGAGCCGGTGTTTGCATGTTTGATCATAGTTGTGTGCCAGCTTCTATGGCGGAATTGTGCAATGTGGTGTTTTGTTCTCCGTTGCTGTGCCAGGTAGCACTTGCAATGCAGCGCCCATGACGGCGATGATGAACGCATGTGCAGACAACACTGGGGCGTGGAGGTTGGTCACAGCTGTTTGGGCCACGGCCAGTTGCTTGCTTTTGCTTGGCGGCGATTGGTGTCCGGGGGTGTTATGCAGCAAATCCGGTCTAAGGAGTCTAAGCGATTGTTGTGGGTAGCAAGTAGCAAGGTGTTTGTACCTGTACTTTTTACCTTGGGAGTGTACCAGCCCGGTCAAGTTTGGGAAGACTGACTTGGGAGCCAAACCAAACGCTAGCAGGTTTGCTCTCACACTGAGCACGACTTGGAAGGTTTCAGATCGAAACTCTTGACGGATCATTGTCAATACTGGACCAGTGACAGCTGTTCTTTGCGGTGTGTGGGTGTGTGCATTTTGCAAAGCCAGTTGAATGAGGGACGATGAGGACCATAAGAGATGATTCAAGGAAGGCACATGGCACAACAATGCTTTGGCGTGTTTACTTAGAATCACTTAGATGCTCAACATCAAAAGCCGATATACCCCGAATATTCACTAGAAAACGAATAGCGGTGCTGAAGAGAACGGTGGATTTGCACAATGCAACAAAATTCTAGCCGTTGCACAAGTTGATTTGACTGGTCCAGCTGGAACTATCGAATGGGAGACATGTATATATAATATATATATATATGTAGTATATATATTTACATATGTGTATATACACATTTCGGTCGTATCATGGCGTGCCGTTTGGTCATGTAATCAATGAATCTCCAGTGAGATACAGTGAGTTTTTTTCGACTCAGGCGGGGCTCAGACCTGCACACAGAACTACACCACCGCCGACGCTGCGGCGCCCTATTACGACTCCGATTGTGCCCTGAGCGCCGTGGCAGGAAGGTGGTTGGAGGGGTTTGTTGGTGTAACCCACTGCGGGGGGTCGATTGTTGAAGATGTCTCCTACTTCTTCCCAAGCAAAGCCTTCAATCATGCCATTTAGTGTCCTTTTAGACTCTAAGAGTGGTGGAAGGAGGCTGAAATCGAAGAGCAGGGTCCCTTGAGATCGTTGACAAGAACAGCTACTGTATTTGAATGTTCGATCACAGTAGAGCAGCAGAGCAAAGCTGAAACTGCCTGAAGCAGGAAGCATGGACTGCAGTTTAACATGACCACAATCAGGCTGAAAAGGAGAACCATGCAAATGCAACTAACACATATCAAACATTCTTATGAGTCGCTGCCTCCCCGGGTCTCAGCCCCGGGACTTCCATCAGTGACTCCAAGGGTCTCAGCCCAACCCTCGGCTCGAGGTTTCACTGGACCAAGTTCCTGCGACGCGCTGGCGCCGACTGCTGCAGTGCGTCTTTGCTGCTGCGGAGCCACACAAGATGAGTGTCAATACGATGCTGGATATTGTGACTTGCATGAGTTTGTCTAGCACAACCTAAGAACAAACACCGTGTGCATCCGTGTGCTTGGATTTCCATGGATTTCCTTCATGGATTCTGATGCTGCACATTGGGCGAGTAAGTAAGGCGGGAGTATGAGTTCCTGTGTTTGTGGTCAGTGCACAGGCAGTGTTGTTAGTTGTTGCTCAAATTGTCAAAGGATCAAGTTCTTTATTACTGATACACAACCGTTTGCCAGAAATTGATATTATAGGGCAGTGAGGTCATGAAAGTCTTCAGTTCTAGCCTTCAAGTCTCGTTTTCGCAAAGAACGGCATTCGATTCACGACCCCATCCAATTGATGTTGGGCATTGTGTCATAGCGTGTTTCTCGCTCGGCGGACTCTGCGGATTTTGTTCTGTTTGAGGGAGAGAAGGAGTCATAACACGTGTCAATATATACACGACTATAGATTTAGAATGATTTAGATATGACGCTATATAATGCTATATATAAATGTATATTCATTGTTTGAGTTCAGGGTAAACTCTCTGATTATACAATATTAATATTATATATACAAAAACAGTGATTATAACAGAGATCATTATGCGTAGACGCTGCCTTCCGCACCTCCTTTCTAAAGATGCCCCTGAAAAGCTTTGGCATGTCGATTGCACTCATCAACTAAGCTGCGAACCAACAATTGTCACGCACAAGGGCCAAATCGACCAGTTGAATCGAGGTTTCCTTAGATTGATTGTCCACAGGTTCCAACGTAATGCCATCGAACGCAGGTTTGCTGCGTTTGATGTAAACCATCGGTCTCCCCAACGACGGTCGTCCTAGGTGTGGAAGGCTATGTCTATGTGCCCACGACGACCAAGGCAGCGGTGAATGTGGAGGAGATGCAAACCATCGGTCACTGGGTGCGGTTGTCCGGGAGAGGATGAGACCCGCGCTTCTCTTACGCCCACACGATCCCTAAGAGAACTGCTTTGGAACATGGTGAACCTATCGAGTAACCTATCCACTCCGTTCTTTCCGGCTCCATCGGTCCACACCTGTAGACATCTCCACCCTACGGTCGTGACGTGTTTCATGACGTGCTGCGCGGTGACCTCCGCGCGCGCCCTTCCGCCGCGGAGAGCAAGGTATGATCGTCGGCTTTGGCATCGGCTCCTTGCCAAAACGAGCTCCGCTTCGGCGGAGGGGTCCGTTCCCGGAGGTGCCAGCGAACACTCGTGGCTCCAGTGAGGTTGAAGTTGGGGCGAAAGAAGCGGTTGAGGGTGAGGCTCTTTTTGAGTCAAGATTCAGAGCATTTAGCGATGACTGATGGAATACTTCATCGTTTGTTGGTGTGCTTGACAGGCCTGGCGTTCCGTTTTCTTCGGCTTTCAATCTCATTCCAACTGCCACTGGTTTTGGAATTGGGGGCGGTTTGCCTCACGCAACCCGCGCCTGCATCTAGCAGCACCTGCCACCGTTGAGTGGGTGGACCCACCATCCATCAGGCCTTTGCTTTGTCCTCTCCCTGGGAATTGGTTGCACCTTGGGCAGGCCGGGTGCAGCTGGGGGTCCTTGATTTCACATTTACGGATGGATCAATGTATGAAGAACTATCAAACCATGTCAAGTGCTTATGTGTGTAAGTTTAACACATGCAGTATACGGCATGTCCAGGCAAAAGGATGCAAAAGAAACCTACTTGCGATCGCCTCCATCCTAATAGCGAGCCATGGCCTCCCACCTAATAGAAAAAAAGAGAGGGAACCTCATCCAAGGATGTGTTGAATCGATGCTCTGAGTTCGGGAGAGTTGCGGAGATCAGCGCGAACTCGCTTTCAGGTGTCAGACGGGTAGCCGCGACTCGTCCGACCGATGCGGGGGAGGTTCTGTACAGTTCTGGCCACAGGTGAGCGCATTCTGCATGGTTGCTGGTCTTGATGCTCAGGAGAATGAGACGTTCTCAGTGGAACTGAGGGTGTCAAGAAGCATGGTTAGGACTGTTTCAGGTTTGTGCTGGGCTGCTTTGGAATCGCAAATGGCTGGGGTGCGTGCGACGGGGTGCTTTGTCTTTGCAAAGGGGGAATGCCATCGGAGGGTCCTCATTCTGCATTGCAACTGCGCATGGCAAGTGTCAAAAGAGAATGAACGAACAAGCTCAAAATTGGCGTTTAATCTGTTGAGAAAGGTGTGGCGAAGTATTCGTATAGAAGTGGTACTGAAATTGGGGCCCCAAACAGCCTCATTGTATGTTTATTAGATATGGTATGCTGGGTCTCAACTCAAAACCCGCTGGTCACGTCGAGTCGCTGGCCCGATGGCAGACCCGCTCGACCCGCTGGTGGATGAGTGAGCCCAACTTCCGGATCCTGAAACGTCCGGACGTACCCCAGCGGCTTTGTAAAGGCGCCATGAACACCCCAGCGGCTCTACAGGCGTGCTTTTCGGGGCTCAGGTCCAAAACCAACAGTTATCATATCATTCTGACTGAGTCCCAGGACCCGGTGAACACACACCTCCAGTTATGTCCTCCGGTCGACTGTCCTACAAACCGTCTCGGCACGGTTGGTAGGCACTTCATGTACGTGCGGGTGAAGAGGAAGGCCATGGAACGCCTCAAGCGGGCGTCCACTGAAAAGACCGCCGCGTCCGATTCTTTTGTGGATGACACCAATGAGGACAACGATCCAGAGGCTGGAAGATTCAACTTTTGGAGCTGAGAACACAGGTTGTTTGATGCCAGAAGATTCATCATTTCAAGCTTGATTTGCTTGATGATTGTGCAAACCCAACTACCACTGGGATAGTGGTCATCAGACTGGATAGTGGTCGCCCCGCCCAGGAGGGCTTTGACGTTCACATGGAGGTCCCGGCCGACACCATGCACACCAAAACAGAGGAAACCGAGAAATCAACGCATGTTTAGTGTGCCGCCCGTGTCGCACGTGCGCTCGGATCGGGCGTATCTGGTGGTGGGTGGCCTTGGTTTGGTCAGAGCTGCCGTCAGGCATAGTCGAACGAAAGTGTCCTTCCTGGGGGTCTTTCTTTACACCAGTTGCACTGCCAGTTATGTTGTACATGTCTTTTTGGCGTGTTTTTGTTTGTTCAGGGCGGCCTTCTCCACATGAAATTAGTATGTTATGGTGTATTTTGTTTGTTCGTATATTTTAGTTGGTACTTGGAATTGTGTGTTAGCCTTTGTTCGTTGTGTTGCCCTGATTTGTTTGTGAATTCCTTTTGCGCCTGCTGGGTGCGATCAGATCATGCATCAAATCAAGTCATTGTTGAACATGCTTTTGAACTACAGTATAGAATTTGGCGGGTTGATCCGCAAGATCTCCTTAAAGATGGAGGGGCAATTCGAACAACTATTTGGAACGTGATTTGGAATGCAAGCATTCCCAATGGTTCCCAATCTGAAACAATCTGCAATTTAGACAGGTCCGTTCCACATAGTCACATAGTCAAATTGTATTGAGAGATGTTCTCCTTAGCCAGGAAATAAATAACTATGCTTCTGTTTTTGGATGTTTTTGGAGGGTAGCAGTCCAAAGCCAGATATATAAGGTCACACCAGATGCGCCGTTCATTGCACCAATTCGGAGCTGGTGTGCGACTGGCTCCGGCTCGGGCCTTCAACCTCTGCCGGCATCGACACAGTTGGCCTGTCGGAATCCGCCGCGTTTGTTCTTCTTTTGGCGTTGGGGGGGCCCAACGCCACACTTGCACTTCACTATGACTTGCAAGGGGATTCATGGATTCTGTGCTAAAGCATTGGCCACAGGTGTGCGGAACAAGGGGCACTTTCACACAAAAAGCTCCTCAAGTGGCCTGTGCCGACCCCGCTTAGCCCATTTGGGTCGGTTCACTCGTGGTCCGAGGCGAGGTTGGACGATCCGCAAAAGTCAGGCTGCAGAGTCCATACCCCCAGGAACCTCTTGGAGATCCTGAGTGCTTTCTTCAGAGCTCCCTGGCAGTTCTACGGTAGAACTTCTACCTGTCTTCTGTTCGAAATTGGATCTGAAAGAGGACCCCCTGGAGGGTATATTGGCTTGCGCACAATATGTGCAATGTTTCAATTGTTTAATTAACAAGTTGACCTCCAGGTCAGGATCAGGATCGGTCAGGAAGGTCCTCAAATCGGCGTTCCAGCAGTCCAAAAAGAATGGAGGAGACTGTGATATAGCTTCATGGGTTGCTAGGACTGTGTGTTGAGCTTCTTCCGCTTGTTATTCTTATATATCCTGGTAGACGCCGACGTACTAAAAGTGAAGCGGAAATCCTGAGGTAAAAGGTGGAGGTGCCCAGCATCAATTAAACTAAACCACTTATAGTTGTATATTGAAGACACTCTTCTAGATTAGCTCAAACACCAGTAATTTTGCTTTGGATTTGGGGAGGCGTAGCTCAATCAGATGACACGTGAAGGGCAGGTCCTCATGCTGAGACTTCGTCAGAGGTTCATCCAGGTCTTCCGGACCAGCGCTGACCTGGCATCCCGATGGCATCACTGTCTCACCGCACACAGATGCACCAAGCTATAACTGATGGCATTGGCATGCATTGACATGCCGAAACGACGTGTGCCCAGTGAAAGGTGTATTTACACTCCTCCAAGTGATCATGTTACTTCACCCTGGAGAATGTGCTCGCCTTCCACAGCCTCCCGTTATTTTGGGGGGGACCTGCTTGCACTGAGCGTGCATATGCTGTATGCGTCTGGATGTTTGCGGTATTAGTTCTGAGACTGTATATATTTGCCATCGTGTGCTGTTGGCCCCTTAACGAGCCGAACAACGTATATATAATATATATTATCAGTGCCAGGCCAGATTCTTTTGCAGCTGCCTCCTTTCATATCCTTCCTTCTGGGATTTGGAAGTACAGGATTCCATTGGCGCCATGGCTTCTCGAGCAAAGATGCAGACCACACCAATGGATTCCTTCATGACGGGTGGGCAGGGTGTTGCTGGGGTGTTCGGGTTGCTGGGGGTTCCTCAAGAACACCTGTCGGATGAGTCAGCACAGGTCCGGAGGTTCGTTTCTGTGGATCGCCCTCGTGTGTATAATCATTAGGAACCGTTGGCCTCAAGATGCCATTCTATGAGTGAAAACGAGTGAATCAGGGCAGTTGAAATGATTGCGGGCCTTCCGGCCAACCTCCATGGAACTGGATATTGCACAAAGTATGCTGGGGCGATGAAAAGTCTCAACCAATCTTTCGCTAAGCTTTCACGAAAGAAAAGCTATTGGTTGAGGGCGCTCTCTTGCTCTTTGCAGATGCTATACTAGCGTAAAGACTTCTCTCAGAACTAGTTCACCTGTCTTCCAGGATGAGGAGGCCACGTCCGGAATTTGTCCTGCGAGCAGCCTTGGCCTACGCATGCACGCAGGCCAGGTTCCGGCCTCAGACGCCACCCGACTCTCGGAACTAGGAGACATCGAGGAACCGCCCATTTGACATTCAAGATGACTGACTCCAAGTTTGGTGCCTAAGTCAAGTTTGGTCAAGTTTAATGGACAATTGCCAGAACAGTAGGTTTCAGCATTGCTTGATTTGATCTCATGGTCGCGGCCCACTTGTGGATGTTGATTTGGGTGGTTTCTGGGGGATCCTGATGTTCAGTTGGCTTCTGGGCGGCTAAAAAGTGGCACATCAAACATCAGGAAATCGACGCTTTTGAATGATTCGAAGTTCAGATTCGCATCACAATGATTCACCCTCCAAGCTGCCTGCGACGTGCAACGGCTCAACGAAAGGGTCCATCGAAAGATGGTCCACTGCTTGGGAGTCGTAGTTGCCTGCTTGGAAAACCATGGAAAACCTATTGTGCCCGAAGACTGTGTAGGCATACCATGATGCGCCTCCTCCTCCTGTGGGCAGTTGCCATGGCAGGGTGCCTTGAGATGAGCGAGCATTTATTGGAAGGTCCTTATGTGAGCAATGCCTCCTTCGACCCCTCCAAGAACATCATCGCTGTGATGTTCAACTTATCGACCTTGCAGGGCGCTGCGAATGGCGATTGTCACCCAGACTTTGTGGACATGAGCACCGTTCAGGGCCCCGAGGAATCATGTCGTGCTGGTCCATTCTTCAACCCAGCATTTTCGACAATGCGACCGTCCAACGCGTGGGCCTGTTCTCGGAGACGCACTGCTTTTGGCTCAGCGATTCGCATATCCAAATCATCTTAGCAGTCAACAGCTCCTTCCAAGGTGGCTCTCTCACATTACTGCCAGTGAAGATTTGGGGCAAGCCCAACTTAGAGACGCAGACTTGGTACAAATCAGCAAAGGGAAGCGTCCAGGCGGGGCAAACAGATTGTGGCGTATCATCATTAGGTATAGATTGTGGTGTGAAAAGGAACTGAAATAGCTTTGAGTTGAAGGAATGCAATCGAGCTCCTCCCAACCTATCAACCAAATCCTGCAAATACGAGGGAAGCATGGCCTTGGAAAATAAGGCACTATTGGGTCGAGGGGGCGTGTGCTTGTGACTAACAGTTCTTATTTATAAAAGATGTTTAAAGATGCACATGTGCTTTCCACACTGTTGCGTGTATTGACTTCCAGCATTTTTGGTCATTGCCTTGCAGGAGGCATCCTGGGTTTCTGCGTTCGCAGTGTTTGCGGGACAAACTTCATGCCTGCCACACATGTCATCAGCATGCTTTCGCGGTGATCACGAAAGGTAGCGGTTACGCTACCTGAGTTGCCTTGCTTTAGCAATGTATTGGGGGTGGTCACGAGTTCCCGAGCTTGATTTCGGTCGTTTAAGAGTTGGTTTTAAATGTCGGGGGGGGGGGGAAGGGGGGGGGGCCCCCCCCCCATTCGACTCCACCCTGCGCCGCGGAGAATTTGGTAGTGATCTGAGCAGAAACAAGCAGCCAGCAGCAGCAGCAAACCAGCAATGCAGCAGCAGCAGCAGTAGCAGCACAGCAACAGCAGCAGCAGCAGCAAAGCACCAAAGCTCACACAAGTTTGGCCTCCACAACTCTTCGTTTTCGTTCAGTTTTTGGGGGGTTGCGCAGACGAAATTGAAAGAGGGGGGCGACAGCAAAGCAGCAGCAGCAGTCTTCAGGATTCAAGCAACAGCAGTAACCAGCAAGAAGTAGCAACAGCAACCGCCAAACAGCAGCAGCAACCAGCAGGAGCAGCAACCAGCAGCAGCAGCAGCAACCAGCAGGAGCAGCAACCAGCAGCAGCAGCAGCAACCAGCATGAGCAGCAACCAGCAGCAGCAGCAACCAGCAGCAGCAGTAATCAGCAGCAACAGCAACCAGCAGCAGCAGCAAGCAGCAGCAGCAACCAGCAGCAGCAGCAACAGCGGCAGCCAGCAGCAGCAGCAGCAACAGCAGCAACCAGCAGCAGCAACCAGCAGCAGCAGCAGCAACCAGCAGCAGCAGCAACCAGCAGCAGCAGCAACCAGCAGCAGCAGCAACCAGCGACCAGCAACCAGCAGCCAGCAGCCAGCAACCAGCAGCAGCAGCAACCAGCAGCAGCAGCAGCAACCAGCAGCAGCAACCAGCAGCAGCAACCAGCAGCAGCAGCAGCAACCAGCAGCAACCAGCAGCAACCAGCAGCAACCAGCAGCAGCAGCAGCAGCAACCAGCAGCAGCAACCAGCAACCAGCAGCAGCAACCAGCAGCAGCAACAAGCAGCAGCAAGCAGCAGCAACAAGCAGCAGCGACCAGCAGCAGCAAGCAGCAGCAGCAACCAGCAGCAGCAGCAGCCGCAGACATGCTACCTTTCGTCCACCCCCGTCTCCTCAAGTGCGCTTGGATGCACTGCAAGTCCTCAGCAGGTGCATGAAATACCTTAAATTATAGAACTTTGTAACCTAAGCCAAAGCCTCATCTTCTTGGCACTGGAAGTCGAGATGTGCCAGATGTGCCTGCAGCTGCTGCGCCACGATTGCGCACGAAATCTTGCGCACGCAGGGCCGGACATGGTTTTATCGCACGCAGCGTGCGAAGGCACTGTACTTTCAGAGCTTGCTGTGCCGGTGGTGATGATTGGAGGTTTGTTGGTCTACTGTATATACATGTATTGGAATCATGGATGTAATGTAATGTAATATATAGCATAATGGTGTATAATGTACTGGAATGTCATGGTATGGATGTATGTATGTATATATAGTATGTGTACACATCTCCCCTCTTTTCCTCTCTCCCTCTCTTTGTCATAATGCGGGAACGTGAACCTCTCCCGCTCCGTCTCAACAGAAGGGCTACCGGTTGCCTTTGTCAATCACAACAAAAGGGACAATGGCAATGGCATTCAACTCGCACCACGCAATGAGTGGCAGAGTGAAAAAGCGCCAAGCCCAAGTCCTGAAGCTGTATGGCTCGGCTTTTTGTCATTTATGTTATCGATGGGACCTTGACGAGGTTACGCTGCCTTCGACAACCAGCACCCCTTCGACATGCAAAAGGCCATCTTGAGCTCCTACGCTTCTGAGGTCACGTTTGGGCAGTTGGAGCGTGCATTGTTCTTGGTTCCCTTGTGCAGTAGGACGGTTGCAGGAGCCTTACCTGACTTTCAGCTGAGTTGAGGAGCCCTCCGAAAATGAGGAGACTTTGATGGCTCAATGCCATTGGGCCTTTTAAAAACAAAGGAGCGCATTTGGGGGGTTCTGCGGCTGTGGCAGCGGGAAGTCTTCTTTCAACTGATGTTTGGGCAGTAGGTGCTGCTTCTGGGACCACCACTTGCAGAACACCCAAGGTACATGGAATTATGCTCGGAACTGGGGGAAAAGTAACCCCCTGGCATAGGACTCGTTGGTGGTAGCAGATTGGTCTCAGAGCGCACGCTGGACCGCTACAGGTGGGCTCTGGACTCTTGGCCCTGGGCCCGGCCATTGCCCACAGCGGCTGGGTGGGCGTGCCCGCCGCTCGATCAGGTCATGCTCGGAGGTCGTTTTTCAGGTCGTGCGTTTGGGAGTGAGATCGCATGTGTGGAGCCTTGAAGCTTGAAGAAAACTGCCCACAAGACCTATAGGTATGGTGTGGAGAAGTGTGGGGAGCAATTGAATCGAACCCGGCCGAATGTGTTTTATTCGATCTTTGTTGCAGAAGTTGCACCAAGAGAATTCTGAGCATTTCGGGAATGCCCAGGAGCTCTCCATCAATCGGGGGTTGATGAATTAGAAGTTAACATGATGCACATACACATTGAGATGAGCCTTGCTGCAGCCTGAGCTCCAATACAGTATAAATGTATTAAGCGCATTTGTGTGCTTTATCGCCAAGCAGTATAAACAGGGCGCCAGCTACCCAGCATAAGGATGTTTTCCAGCGGTGCAAAAGTGTTTGGGATGGAAAGTCTTAGAAGAGGTCCCTGAAAAATGGGTAGAGCCTTTGCGGCTTTTGATCTTGTGGCATAACCGGATCCCAAGCAAAGGTCGGTGAGCGTTCCTTGGCACCCGCACGAACGAAGCAGTCACCCGATCCAAGGATGCGCCTGTCAGCATCCAGTTTTTAGACCCACTCCCAAGTGGCCCCAGTTTTGGACGCTCTTGACAGGTCGACACCCAACAGTGCAGGGGTCACCGACCTGGGTGAATCCGGTGGTTCCTTCCGTCGAACCACTCGTTCGACTAGTCAAGAACCATGGCACAATCATTGGCTGGTGGCTTGGAGGGCACGAGGGAACCGAGCGAACACATATTCCACATGTTAAGGACGATACGGGGCTGATTGCCGTGCCTCCAGCATGCCACTTGAGAGAAGGGTCACATTCTAGATTCTAGACTAGCGTTCGGGCTGTGGGCGAACCATTCTCTGTGATTACAGCTTTGTTTTGACACAAGGCCATCGTTCCCGTCCCTGAGGTTTTGGTGATGTGTGGTCTTTGCTCAGCTTATACCTCCTACCTGCTTGGTTGGACGATCTTCCGGCTGCAGGCAGAACATCCATGGGCGGCACATCCATGCCCCTAGACTACAGCGAAAGGGTTTTTCGATAGTAGGCTCAGCCACTTGGATCACTTTGTGGTTGCACTGGGTCAGCTCACTTTTTGTACTTTTAGTACTTCCATGAACCTGAGGGACACTGAGGGCAGGCATGACGGGACCCTCACTATGGGACTGGTCAAGGGCGTCAAGATACAAGGCACCACAACCATCCACAACCAACACCCCTCACAAAATATGCCTTGGCTGGCCTACTCGAGAAAGGAACCTAGTACCATCATGTACCATCCAGTACCAGCAGGATACATCTTCTTCGGCTTCAGAGTTCCAACCATCGAAAAATGCCTTCCGAGTGCCACCTGTTCCTCATGGGGTGAAGCTTTCGCCGGAACAACGAGAAAAGCGCACAGCAGGTGCATCCGTCTTCGGAGTCTGAGCAAGGAGCTTGGAGTGAAAGACAACAAAATCAGTTTTATACACTTGCACATACTCCTGGCCTTACTACTAGGAGCAAGGACGCTACTAGGGGCTCCTGGCATCGCTACTAGGAGCATTCTTACTACTAGTAGCAAGAAGCTGCACAATGTAAATTTCCTGCATGTTCTTACAGCGCTCCGGCTCGGTTTCTGATTTTTTGGAGCATTTACCATGGAAAGCATGGAAAACTGACGTCGCTCCAAGGTCGGGGGACTCTTCGCCGGGTGCTCAAAGGTTTCAGATGCAGTATTTCTCCAGCTATTTGTGCGAATGATCAACTGGAACAGCTCCAAGAACACCCAAAGCCATCGCTAAAGCGCCGCGAAGAAGCTGCCCAACTGTGGTATGGCTCACTATTTGGGCTCGCATCGTAAGAGAGTTTGAGCCTCTACGTTCAGTAGCTACAAAATGTTCAAAACATTTGTCACAAATGGTTTTGGGTGATGCCATGCACAAGCTAACCCTTGTGCTACAGCATAGTTTTGCCATGTCAGTTTTCATCAGTTTTCCTGCTTGATAAGTGCCCTGCCCGTGTTAGCCTGTGCAGCTTCCCTTTTCAGCAGGTGTTGCTGAGTTTTTTGGGGTTTTGGGCAACTGCTTGGCCTTTGCGCATTCTGGTTTTTACATGCCGAAAGCAGCATGTGATTCCTTTTCATCGCGCCGGGCTCAGATCGACCGAGCCAGTGAGGTCTGAAGAATCGACGGAGGAGGAAATGTGACGATGTCGTGATGTCGTTCGTGCTATGTGGGGGGGAGATGATGTTCTTGGTGTCCGCTCGGTCCGCTTCTGGAGGAACATGCCAGGATCCAATTGGATCGTGTTTGGGTATTGCTGGATGTAAGCAAAACGTCCTTGAAGAAGTCATATGTGCTAGATTCTAGATGACAGTGGCTGCCATTCCGATTGCCGCCCCACAAGTTCGAGGTCAATATCATTGAAATTTGCGTGTTGGATAGTTTGGAAAGGAGTTTTTGCGGGGGTGGATGCGTTTCTCAACCCACTTCTATCCTCCAGCCAGGGCCAACTGGTCCAACTGGATCCAACTGCTCCTTGAATTGGTTGAATTTATTGTAGTCAAGAACTGGTGACGGCGATTTGACCAAGACTTTTTAATACTTTTCTTCTGTCAGTTTTACCTGACAAGACCTGCATATAAGAGCTTTGGCACCTGTTTGTTCCCCGCACCGTATTGCAGCTCTACTCAATTATATACTGAATTCCCTCTACAGAATACAGAAGCCCTATTTCTGCAAGTTTGAGCATTGGCATGTTCATGTTCAGCTAGGGTGCTGCAAATTCCACGTTTTGACACTTGAAGTCGGCAATCCCGTACACAGCAGTACTCCAACAGCCCGACACACTGTACACAGTGCAAACATATGCAAGTTGTGGACTAGTCAAGTTGTTCTGCGGTGTTCCGGTGTGTTGTGGTGTCCCGACAGAACTTCACACAAGTATGTAGTTGGTAATCATATATGCTTGCCAGGTTGAGTTCCAGGAATGCAGGATGTCGAAGCAGGTGAACAAGACTATGTTGTTTAATGTGACGTCGTGGAAACCAAGAAACCGAATGTCACAACAACCAATGCACTAACCATTATTCAAACAACTCCCAACTTCCAAAGAAACTTGTAAGATCTTGTAAGAGTATTCACCGAACGGTTCACTGCCACTGCCACCGAAACGGCGGAGAACCTTCGAAGGTTCACCTCTTTGTGGGGCCACCCTCTCGCACCGTGGGAGGAGTCGTCCTCCGAGAAGATCGAGGCGACCGAGGAGTGGTCGTCGCGCTCCGTTTCGCTCAAGCGCTCAGACCTTCGCTTGAGCGGACCTTGTCCAGGTTGAGATCAATAGCTACGATGATGTCGGGGAACAAGCACCTTGGAACAAGCACCTTGCAAGTGTCTTTTTCGGAAACCAGGGATTGCTTCGGCCAAACCCATTGTATAGGTGTAGGTTGGCCATGATGTCAAATGTAAGGCTCCAAAATTGCCACATATAAAGTGACATAAAATGACCAAAGCCCTCGTTTGTCCCTTTCTTCAAGCATCGGAGAGAGCACGAGATGCGGCGACCCAACCCCCCCGGTCGTGGAGGCATAAGCACTGAGGCTTTGGGCATGCCAGGGCGCGTGATATCTTTGGTGGTGCAGGCTCTGATGTTGATTGGGGTTTGCACCATCTTCCTGGTTCTCACCGGGATCAATGCAGAGCAGCTGGAAGAGAAACTCGGATTGTGACCAGAAGTTCTCGGGGAATGTGTGGGAGTCTCCAAGTTGGGAGGCGCGGTTCGCACACCGACCGAATCGTTCGTGGAGCCTACCTGCGGCTGCACTTGCGCTGGACAAGGAAGTGGTTCGCGTCACTGCATCACTGCATGCCTCGAGGGTGCGAGGCTTCAAACCACCTCAAAAAGGAGTTCAACTCGGCATCCGCCCACCAGTTATGAAAAAACAGTACACAATAAAGCAGCTGAAAAACTCACCCCAAAATGACTTTGGGTGCATTTTGGCAGTAGCAAGTAGAGGGTGCAAGTTAAAGAGGCAAAGGAAATCATTGAGGGGTGTTTGACATGCGCTTTTTGACTGGGTCTAGTGTTTTGTGACAGGCGGATTGGTAAGCCCACCTCGGTTGGAAGATCTGTGCACCTCTATAGCTCACTAGGGGTTGATTGAAGAATGTCCATTGGCTGGGGTGAGGTGGAAGTTTAGGTACTATACATGTTTGATGTAAATCAAGTTGGATGGTCACTGTCTTGTATTTCTCCTGCATTGCTTCGTCCAAACGCAACACTTCCCGATCGCCCCTGACAGTTGTGTCAGCTCCTTGACAACGAGCTAAATACATTGATTGAAGTAGACCAACCCGCATATCACGAGGCGAACATCTCCAGGTCCACAATCATGTATATTTAGACTCTTAATAAAGCCCCCCATATGGGGATGCAAAGCCTTCAATTCTGGGATGCTTATCTTTTTCCCGAAAGACTTGGTCGAAGGGCTCTTCCTAACCTTCCTAAAGGCACTTGGTCTGTTCTAGCTGAGGCTTTAGCACTTGTAAGAGTCTAGCACTTGCAAAGACTTGATCAAGTTTTAGCACTTGGTCTGTCTAGCTGAGGCTGTAGCACTTGTAAGAGTCTAGCACTGGCAAGAGATTTGATGAAGCTTTAGCACTTGGTCTGTCTAGCTCAAGCTTTAGCACTCGGTCTGTCTAGCTCAGGCTTTAGCACTTGTAAGAGTTTTTTGCGTTTGCAAGAGGCTTGACCAAGTTTTTGCATTTGCAAGAGGCTTGACCAAGTTTGAGCATTTAGCAGGGGACTTGACCAAGCTTTACGACTTGCAAGGGACTTGACCAAGTTTCAGCAGGACTCGACAAAGGTTTCCAAACTTCTGAAGAATCGGATGATGAGAACCGACACTTCGGATGCTTTAATTCCGGCCGGGCATGGCTCTCCGGTGTTATGGCTTCTGCTGGAGCTGCTTGGAAATACTGACAAACTCGTTGTAGACACACTGGCCGTATTTCTCCTTGTTGCGCACCTTGGAAAACTTGTTGGCGAAGTAGCTTGGCGCCCGTTCCAAGAACTCGGACCACTGCACGCCGATGACAGTCTGCCCTGTCTTCGACGATCGCACTCGGATCCTGCCATCCTGTGTGAGGAGTGGCTTGCCAGGATGGTGCCTCTGACCCAGCTCCACGAGTTTTTGGAGCTCCTGCTGAATCAAGCGGTCGCCTTTCGAGAATTTTGAGAAGCGGTCAAAGTTGGCAAGATTGGCCTGAGCGGGGAACAGCCAAGCATGTCAAACATGTATGATCCAGCGGAAGGCGACCACTACAGTCTTCGAACGCCAAGTTAAACCCAAACACTTTTTGCAGACCAGGGGCCAAAATCTCTTTGCTGTGCTTCTTGTGCGAAGTCTGCGGTGGAAGCAACTTCGTGATCTTCCTGAAAAACCGCAAGGATCGCAAGGGTTACAAATGTCAACCAGCCCTGTACACGGGCTTTCATCCCACGCAAAAAGATGAAGGAGCTCTTAGACCACAGGTTTTTATCTCATTTTTCCGTGTCATGGGTTGGCAGTTTCAACCTCAACCCTCAGGTTTTGATTCCACAAAAGCTGGAACGCATAGGCTCAGGCCATAGGTGTTCATCACAAAAAATCAAACAAACAATGACGAGTGTTTCGAGACAAGAAGCTTCTGCTTCGACTCCTTCTTGTCAGTCACCTCGTCATCCAAATCGTCATGGAGGATGATGGTCAACGGATTGGCATCTCGCAGCTGCTTTCGCTGGAGAGGTGCAAAATCGGGCTCATGGCCTCAGAACTGGCAAGCTTATGAAATGTAGTACGGGGAGCAGCTTCTGTGTGAGGTGGCCTCAGCATCCGGCTATCCGGCGTGCTTGCGCGACCCTCTCGCAGGATCGGCCTCGTGGCCTCAGAACTGGCAAGCCTATAGTACAAACAGTACGGGAAGCAGCTTCTGTGCGGTGGCCTCAGGTGTGGTGTCCCCAGCATCCGGCGTGCTTGCGCGACCTTCTCACAGGATCCGGCTCATGGCCTTAGAACTGGCAAGCTTATGGTACAAAATGTTCTACGGGAAGCAGAGCCTCAGATGTGGTCTCCCCATCCAGCGTGCTCGCGCGACCCTGGATCCGCCTCATGCGCCTCAGAGCTGGCAAGCTTGTAGCACAAATATGTAGTACGGGGAGCAGCTTCTGTGTGAGGTGGCCTCAGATGTGGTCTCCGCAGAATCCGGCGTGCTTGCGCTCAGAACTGGCAAGCTTATAGTACAAATGTAGTACGGGAAGCAGCTTCCGTGTGAGGTGGCCTCAGATGCGGTCACTTTGAAGATTTTGTAGTAGACCTGAGAAGTAGACTTGATCAAGTTGTTTAGCATTTGGTCTGTCTAGCTCAGGCCTTAGCGCTGGTGAAAATCTAGCGAGTCTAGCACTTACAAGAGAAGAGACTTGATCAAGTTTTAGCATTTGCAAAAGAATCTCCCCATGGCTTTGGCACTGGTAATCTGCTCAGGCTTTGAGCACTTGCAAGAGCCTAGCACTTGCAACAGACTTGATCAAACTTTTGCGTTTGCAAGAGACTTGACTGACCAAGTTTGAGCATTTGCAAGGGTTGACCAACTTTTAGCATGCGCGAGAGACTTGACCAAGTTTGGTCTTCACAGAGTCTTGCACTTGCAAGAGACTTAGCCAAGTTTTAGCACTTGCAAGAGACTTGACCTAGTTTCAGCATTTGCAAGAGACTTGAGCAAGTTTTAGCAGTGGCAAGAGACTTGACCAAGTTTCAGCATTTGCGAGAGACATGACCAAGTTTTAGCATTTGCCAGAGACTTGGCCAAGTTTTGCGAGAGACTTCGCCAAGTTTTTCCTTGACATCTCGAGTCTGTCTTATCTACTTGCAAGAGACTTGGCCAAGTTTGAGCATTTGCAAGAGACTTGACCAAGTTTCAGCACATGCAAGAGATTTGACCAAGTTTTTAGCAATTGCCAGGGACTTGACTCGTCCACGCTTTGCTTACAACTTTCCTGCCTGCAGGGGTCTAGTTTTAATCAACCTTTTGTATCATGAATGAACCAAGTTTGTACTGTACCCATTGGGCAGATTCTTTTCACGCATGAAGGCCCGAACTCAACATCCATTCACAAGCTATTTTGGCGTCCACCCCGCCAGGCTTGATGATTTTTTGCCAGCTTGGAGTGTAGACAAACCCATCCCATTATGCCCATCGCTGCTGGACAAGTTGTGCGGTGCCTGACGCACATGTTTTGCAGCAAGGTGCCAGCGGGTGCAGGAAGTTACTACTTACTGAGATGGAATTGGAAAATGGATGTGGTCCCTTTTGAAAGGCCCTTTTCACGTCCACATGATGTGTTCTGTTTTCGTTCGAGCGTCCCATCATGCCATCCGAGGACGGACCGTTTATCGTCTTCATGGTTTCTGTCGAAACCCGGGCGTTCGTCGTGGCATGTCGTGGCCCCACTGAGGATCTTCGGGCTCAAATGGCTTGAGAAGCGACCCTTGATTCTGTTGGCCGCACTCCTTGAGGTGACGCCTAGCGTGCTGATGGCCACAGCCACTTGGGACTTGTGAGAGGGTGACGTAGACTGACCCAGATGGATAGAGATGGATAACAAAAACCTGGATGGTTTGGACAAAGGACTGCTTAGCACTAAATTCAAAGCAGGTGTAATTCGAGGGCACTTTCCGGATGTCTATAGTCCGGTTGACATTCGGTTTGATGCCTACCAAGAATCCAACATGTCAAGGTGCCACTCATTGAGTTTCAGGCTAGTTGTGTTAACCTTTTTGATTGGGAGATCCTTCACCCCTGCAGATCAATTTGTCGTGAACATATTCACTCGATTTTGATGTGTTTTCATGTTTAAATGTTTGATTAGCTTGATCAACTGTTCACCACATTGTTTCGGAGGGAATTGTTTGTTCTTCGAATTGGAAAGTATGTTGGAGGGATGGTTTGGTCATCGGGGTTGGACACCATGTTGCGGTGGGAAGAGTTGCACACCAGGCCTGTCGCTCCGTCAATGAGGCCTCTCGCACCCCAAGGCTATGCCATAGGTCCATAGGTGGTCTCAAAATCAGGCAAGAGCCTGAATGTAAAAGGTAGACCATATGAGCAGTTGTGCTCTTCTTGTAAACGATCCACCCCGTATGGCGAATCCGGCCGGCTGATCTACGAATGGACCGGAAGGATCAGAAGGGCACGACTGCTCGTCGCCGAGGTGAAGGAGACGTTTTGCTTGACGGCTTCTATGACTTGACAAAAGCAGGAGTTCTATGGATTTTTGGTCATTCCAACCTTGAAGCGTCATCAGCAAGCGCGGAGCCATGTGTTTTTCGCATGCAGGAACTGCATGTGAGTGATATTGCATTCCTGCGTAGTATTTCTGATAGGCCCTATTATAGACTCATTTCCCGCCAATAAGGGTGAGAAACACATATATTGGGTCTGGGACGGGTGGGTGATCTGAATTAGGTAAGGTTAAGGGTGGCCTTTGCGACTCAAAGCTCGAAGCTAGAAGATTCTCAAAGAACAGCACCGACGCTGACAGAAGGTGGAATGCTCCCAGTTCATGGCCAGGTCCAAAATGGGGAACGACAAAATGTGTGCTAAGTCAGTTAAGTCCCACAAGGAACGCTTGGGGGCGATTTCGCGCGGTCGACGGTGCGGAGACGTTCCGTCGAACACCGTCGAACACGAGGCGTTTGGTGCCTTTTGCTCTGCCGTGTGCTCGTTGGTCATCCTCGCATCTGCCTTCACTCATGATACGGCCATCGACGACTGCCTGGATGATGGCCAAGAGAACAGCTGGCCTTTCTTCACAGACTTCAAAGGTTTCAAAGCTTGCAGAGTTGATCAGATTTGTTCGGGACCAGTTTCCAGCACGTGGAACAAGCCAGGAATTGCTGTTTGCGGGGTCAATATATGATAATATATATATATATAACTATCACGACCAACTGAGTTGTGCCATTTGTGCTGGTTGTGTATATATTGCACGAATATGTGTAATTATATCAAATTATATATATATATGTGTATATCTATGTGATTCGAGAATTTGGTATCCGATTTTAAATTGTGTGTATATATACACACATGTGTTAAGTAATGTTGTGGTTTTGTAGCTTTTGTCAAGACGCCTGTTAGTTCTTCCATTTCTCTCCGCTCGCAACTGTTTTCTGGTTCCTGGTTGAATGATTTTAGCCATTTGGGCTCCGTGTCCGCCATTTGTTGGGCTCTTGTTTGCACAGGGCCCCAAAGAGAAACGATGTCTCAAAACTTCCATATGACTGACTTACTTCATTTGTGCCGCACAGACCGCGCGAGGTTTGTCTTTGTCCTGGAACACGGTGTCCAGCTTGCAGATGTGGAGAGTTTGGATGAAATTCCATACATCTACTCAGGGATTGCAGGGGTTTAGCTCGAAGTTAGTGGTTGGCTGGGTTTGGCTGAGCAGGACGGGAGGGGAACAATAGTCTTGAAAAGTAGGCATTGGCCACGCCATGAAAGCATTCTATTCGATTCGATCGATGCAATCTTCACCCTTACACAAACGTGGACATCACAAAGTCCTTTCCTTTGTTGCAAGTCTCAGTTTCCGTGCTGGGAGTGCAATGACATGTTCAGACCGAGATATTTGGGGATGACTTGAGGGGTCGGGGAATGACTTGGTGTGAGATCGATGTCGTCCTGGAATCCAATTTGCCTTACTACTAGTAACAAGGACGCTACTAACGGGGCTCCTGGCATCGCTACTAGGAACAAGGACGCTACTAGGAACAAAGGGCATCGCTACGTTGTGAACGTGCACGGCATGGTGAGAAACCACCGCTTGGTCACACATGATCCGAAGTAGTACTGGAGCACCGAAGTGTCCCGTGCAAGTCAGAAAGCCGAGGCACTTGCCATCACTTGCCATTCGTACTGGCCCAGTCTACGTACCTATAGTTTGGTAAGTAGTTACCTATTAGGTAGTGTTCAGTACGAAGTGTGGCAATGTCAGCTCAGTCCATTCAGCTTCATCGCAACCTCGCGACAACCTCGGATTTTGTTCACGCAAAGGGACCTTCGACCTTCGCTGAACGGACCATGTTCCCATTTTGCTTTCGGTGCGTCATGGACCGCACCAGATCGTGTTCTCCTTCGGTGGGATCAACGTGCTGCCCACCTTGCTCTCGGACTTTCGGCAGCGTGGGGTCTTGGGTCGTGCATTGGTGAGCTTCACTTGGCGCAGCTACCTCTTCATCATTTTCTTTTATGTCCCTTGGTGGTGACCAAGGCATGGTCCTACCACGTGGTCGGCACATGGCAGGATCTTCTGAGAAACACACATGGAAACGCCCCTAACCGCTGAGGGGTAACCGGAGGTTTGGAAAGAAATACGATGAAACAAAGGTATATAGAGATTTGACCATTTTGACCAACATGATTCTGACTGGGAGCATCTTTGCAACAGAATGGGGGAAGGTGCGAACTTACTGTGCCATGTGCCATAGACACAGAGCTTTCGTTGCAGGCTTTACCTTTGGCCCACCTTTGGCTCATCGGAAACAAAGGCAGATTAGAAGAAACGCATTGAATCATCGAGTGGCATTCCTTTCTCTTACTTCCTGTTGTCCTTTCGTTGCGTCCAGGTGAGTCAAGACGGATCCCTGGAAAAAGAGACTGAAGAGCTGCCAAAGCTGTTTGTAAAGGAGGTGCCCATCAAACAATAGCTCCAGGACCCTGTGAACGTCTATGGTATGGTTCGGGCACGGCGGTTCACCACAGAGCTGTCATCAAAATGGAACAGGTAAGGACCAGCATGGCGGTGGTCTATTTTGCGCTTACTCAAGTCATCCCAAGTCCAGGATATGCGGCAGTCTATGTTGTTTCCGTGAATGATGCGGTACGGTAAGGTTCTGATCAATAAATGTTTCGTTGATGCCCAAGCGCATTTTACATCATACGCCGTAGACCTTCATAGACCTCTTTTAGAGAAGACACTTGTTCCGGCGATCACCGATGTAGCCCTGCCTTCGGCTCATGGATGCTGGGCTCAAAAACAGCAGAGCTTGGCTCGTTTAAGCATGTTTAAGCGCTATATAAACGATGCCGCCAAACTATGCCAAACTCAAAAACAGCAGAGCTTGGCACTTCTCATCCCACAAATTTGTTGCCCTGGTCGAAAGAGCTGGCCTGCAATTCAAGCAGTCAGCTGCGCTGGCAGCCAAGGCTTTGGTGGCCATTTGCGGCTACAAAGCAGGAGGCGACATCAGCTGGGTCAAGTGAGGGAGTTTGCCGGAGTTCAGGCATGATTTGCCTCACACAAACACCGGAACTCCCGAGATATCAAGAGATCCCTCGTGAATCAGGCGGCGACGTCCTGTGCATCCTGGGTTTGCCAGTGCTGTGATCCCTCACAGTCTCGCATCCGCATCCGGTGAATGCGCTTCCGCGCGACGTCACGGCTGCGTCACCGCGGAGTTCTTTCGCCGGCAGCTTTGGCCGTTTCGCGCCAGGACTCGCCATGGCAAGCCAAAAGGTCGATTCCAATGTCCTCATTGGATTGTGGCTCGGAGGAGGTGGACATGACCTGGTACCCGGTGGCCAGGGAGAGATGACGGTGCGTATTCTGAGAGAGTTGTATATACGATTATATAGTTACTATCAGGTGCCTGAAGTGGCGAGGAAATCTGATGGTTTGCGAGGTTGTGCTTACAAGGCTTAGCTTTTTTGGTGTGTGTCACCTGCTTGGGGGATGGCTGTCATTTGGCCCGCGTGTGGCCACGACTAGTCAGAGATCAAGCACCCTCATGCAGAGCTCGTGCCCAGGCATGGCTGCAGCCCATCACGAGGCGGAGGATGGGATTTGATCGTTCCTCGGATGCTACAGGTGTCCATAGGTTTCTGGACAACTGGACAACCCAAGGCGGGTCCAGGAGCAAAGTAAAGAATATAGGTAAAGGCGACAAAGTCTGAAGTACTTTTCAGAGTGCTGTGCACATGTTTCCTCCTGAACTGGATGGCAGAAACAATCCCAAGTGATAAGTGCCCTGAGTGCTGCTGTAAAATCAGCATTCCGCTCAATCTCCCTAGCATTGGCTGGGTTTGTTCGACTAGGGGCGTGCTCCCATTCCATACGGCCACATGTCATGCACCCACAGCGCAGTGATGTTCATGTTGAGTTGAGGTTCTCAACCTTGCTTTTCCTACCCCAAATAGGGTATAGCAAGATCGAGATCACCGCTGTATGATCCTGTGTGCCCATACCACAACGGCAAGGCTTGTGATATTCCCTGGTTCTGCTGCTAGTTTACTTAGCAACCGTGTCACACCAGTACTAAGGTTGCATATGCTGCAATACTGATGCACGTGCTTCTGGCATTTCCAGTGCCGTTTCACGCGCTGGCTGAAACCATTGAAGCTGCGCTTGGTATCAGAGACCAGTTGGTTGAGTCGAGCCTTTGCGGGCGCGGCCTGTTGTTGCGTGTTCCGCGCTTCCTTGCACTAGGTCTTTGTGCCTGGGATGCGCGGGGCTACCAGAGGCCTCCATGTTTCGGGATGTTTTTGGTGGGGGGCTACCAACTCCCACTTGCCTGCAAAATCATGTCGGCATATGTCGGCCCTTTGGCACCACAACCCTTTGGCCTCTAAGATGGATGGACAAACTGACAAACGTGTCAAGGCACAACGATGTGGAGCTTCCACCAAGACGGCCTTTCTAGGACCAGACGGCCTTTCTAGGTCTCAGACGTCACAAGTCGGTCATTCTCCATATCCTACCTCTCAGGTGCCTTCCTGGCCTACATCATCCCGTTCTTTGGCGCCTTACTGAATCTGGTGGCAGCCTTGGCTGGGCAGGCATCGGTCTTCATTTTGCCGGTGCTCTTCAGCTGGGCGGTGCAACGGCAGCAGGGGCACCGCATCCGAGCCTACGATTGGCTGCTGGGCGCCGTGGCGGAAAGCGGCCGGGCGACCGGAGAAAAGGCCACGACCCAAACGATCAGATTGAGATCTCCACGGTGACTTTTGGTCTTATCAACTATAGGACAGGCTTTTGATAAGCGCCATTTCGGAGGACATGTCGGACATGTAATTAGTTTGATATGTTTTTCTATATATATATATATACTATTTTGTTTTTGATCCACCCCGTGTGTAGATTATGTTTCCGAGTTGGAGCTTCCTGGTTTATCATATTTTATCATCCACCGCACACGTTAACAATGTTGGGGATTTGCAGTTGGAGGGGGTTGAGGGAAGAGAGGAAGCCAGGTGATATCGGATAGCACCACACACGGTGGCCGCTTCGGTGCGAAAGATTATGGTTAAGCATGGCACCTTTTATCACCTTTTGGCATAGATATATATATATATATAAGAAAGAACGAACATATAGATAGATAGATAGGTTAGGTTAGGTTAGGTTAGGTAGATAGATAGACAGATAAGATAATTAGATAGACAAGATAAGAAAGAAAGAAGGAAACACATGAAACAAACACATAAATAAATATATAAATATAATAGATTATATATAATTATATAACCCTTCACAACTGTGGCCCTCGCGCCGAGCATTCATGTTTTTGGAGTGGAAAACGGACCTGTGCAAGATGTTGCTGCTTTTCTTTACACGCAGAGTGGTTCTCTACTTCGGCGTTGGGGGGAGAGTAGCCAAAGTCTTTGGGTCATGCAGATGCTTGCAGTCTAAGTTTAGTTCCAACATTTACGCCCGCATGCCCGGAAGACTGCTTGGGTTGGTACTCATCACTTTTGGGCTTGGCATAGGCTGCGGCCGGGGCAGCTAGACACCGATTTCAATCTTAGGTGCTTTGTGCCTCTTGGTGGGCGTCGCAGGCGCCGTGTCCGGCATATATTATGGATCCCAACAGTTGGCGTCGGCTCTTCGAACTGCTTGAGCGCAGGGCATGAGCCCAAAGATGGCATAGTCTCCGATGACCAAAGATTCTTCTTGTTCCTGGTTTGCCTTTGGGTCGGCGCGGTAGCTAGACAGATCTAGACAGTCAGCTGTTCACTGTACGATACGGTACGTATATGGGAAGTAGACCCAAAGAAGACGGCATCTAGTCCAGCGTCATTGTGCGCTCGGAGAGCACAGCATCGAGCCTCGGTTCGGGGCCTCCCTCCTTGATGTCGCTGCCCTGGATCTACACGTGTTTGGGGACGTCGGAGATGATACCCTTTGGAATTGTTTGAAAGCATGTTTGTTTCGGAACGACTTGCACCCCACAGCTATTTTGTTGGCTTGGGGGGGGCACTGCATATGGATTGCAAGTCCTTCAAGAATAAGACAGAAAAGCCCACCAGCCAACCAATGTTGTGGTGTTTGAGGTTCGTGCGGAGTGGTTGATAGAAATCACTTACATGAAGAAACTTTGATAAGAAGCTTGACTCTGTTACCCAACCGGACCAATGGGACTCCAAGTGCGCCGAATGAATGGCATTTGCTCGTGCAGCGGCTCACATCACCACTTCGAACCCTAGAATTGTAGCCATGGGCAGCTGTGGTACAAAGGAGGTTGCAGAAGGCGACATTGTTTTGAATGCTGCTCGCCATTCGTAGAGGTGTTCAGAGGGAATGGACGCCAAGATGGGGGGTACCTTTCAAAGGAGTTTCTCCCACCACAGGTGCTTTTGTGGATACAAGGTTGGAGAATCTAGGGGACTTGATGGCTGTTCGTGGCAGGGCGACTTGACAAGCACATTCACAGTGCCGTGTTTTGGTCAAACTTGAAATTCTAGCCCCCTGCAGCACCATGGGCAAAGTGTAAGATAGAACTTGGAAGGAGGGTGACATGTGACCTTTAGTAGGCTCTTTGATGAACAAGGCTTAGCAGCTTTAGCAAGTTCCAATGTAGAGCTTCACCTTCAGACCTGCACTTCAGGTCTATGATGTGGGCACCAGTGTCTCGGCATGTTCGGCAGAAACTGAAGGTTCTACATCAAACTCGGCTGCCCGCCATGACTTTTGGAGTGGTGAGCTGTGAACGCTCGACCCCAAACCGGTCTCAGGTATTGGCATGCACGACCTGAACAATGTTCTTCACATGATTGGCACCGGCGTGTACCATGCGAGCACTCAGATTGGGGACCAGGAGCAGCCACAGAAAGAGCACACGGGCCTGACCCTTCAACATCACCCAAATCCTTTTAAATCCCTTTGTTGCTTTGACTCTTCCTTTGCTCCTCCGATCACCGCCCCGCCAAAAGGGGTTTCTGCCAGGAGTGGGCCTATGGCTATTGCGAGACGCCAGTCAGCAGGTGAGAAAGCAAACCCGGCATGTCCAGTATTGATGAAGGATGATCCCGGCCTGGCAGTCCATTGAAATCGCTTCTTTCTTCATGCTTCACGATCACCATAAGGAAGCTACTAAGGGAGAATGAATGAAATAGCGTGAAATCGTTTTGTTGGCCGCTGGCCGACTGTTTTGTTGAAAGAACCTCCCATTTCCTAACAGGCCGCGTTCCAATCAACACAGCAATCAATTGGAGCCGCCATTGGGCCGACAGCTCGAGCCCGGGCTCAACTCAGGAAAGGCTGCGGCGTTTTCCACTGCACCTTGGTCCTTCGAGATACGCCATCAAGCATTTTGGGACCGTCATTCTGGAGTAGTGTTGATGGAAGCGTACTTGCACCGCCTCAACAATCCAATAAGCATTTGCAATAATTGTGTTTTGATGATTTGTGTATGTTAGGTGGTGTTCAGAGTTCTTCCATCGTTCGAGTAAACTTGTTGGACCGTCGCTTTCGTGTGATCCTTTGGCTTGAACGTGTGTCCCGTCGCTGGGTGGCTCGAGGTAAGCCCAGAGGCTACCCTTTTACCTACCGCGAGTCCATCAACCTGGGCCCATCCCCACTCTCGCCGGACGGGGCTACGGCGGACGGGGCAGAGGAACCCACCTGATGGTCTCAGGAGTGTTTCACAGCAGTCCGCTACCCACCCCTTCACCCACAGAGCCCCTTCCTCTAAAGCATGCAGATCTTAGATTGGATGAGTTTAGTAAGAAGGGCGTAAACATGACAATGATGAGTGTAGCCTTCGCAGCAAAGGTTGTTTCATGCAGCGTGCCCGTGCAATCAATGTGGGTCACAAGGGTCGCTTTTCAACTCTTTTTGACTGTCTTGTGACTTGTGACTTGGGGATGTGCAGAGAGACACACTAACGGTTCTTGAGTGCATTTGAGTGTTATTATACAAGTTTTTCTGCACCTCTCTACGGAAGCCTACTGTAAACTGTAAGAAAAGCTTATCTAATGTGATGCCTGGGGGCCTGTGTAGAACTCTAATCTTTTAGCGCGGCCTCTCTAAGCTTCTGTGAACCATTCTAAAGTGTTTTTGAAACCTGTGGGCTTGAACAAGAAGCCAAACGATTCCATTTGTTTGACGGAACTTGGATTGTTTGTACAGTATTTAGCCAATTTAGAGGGGGTTAGAGTCGAGATCTAGGATTTAGATAAACAAGTCTGTGGAACACGGTATGGGAAGACTTCCTTGAGTGTTTGAAGCATGGCTGAAGGTTTTCTTGATCACATCATGTCTCAACTTGAAGATAGGTATATAATGCTTGTTTCAAGTGATTTGCATATACTGTACTTGCACATGGCACTGCACAGCTTTAAGAAATGATCATGTTGGTCACTTCCACTTCCATCACAGGAGGATACAGTTCCCATCTCTGAGCTCACTGGTGTTGCCACGAAACCGACATTTGGCAACCTTCTTTCTCGGGCGAACAGTCTCCAGGAGCAGATCCACCAGGAGATCGAAAAGCTGAAACAGGCGCAACCCGTTTGGCGCAACAGGTGTTAGCATGGGAAAAACGCTGACCACAGATGACCGCATGCTCCGTGAAACCGTACGGATGCCCTCAGCAGCATTAAACGTAATGCTGTAACCCGTGATGATCTGGATTGGGTACCAGAAAGCTGCGCACCCACCCACGATGGTGGTCGCATCTCTTGAAGAGGTTCGCCACGTGTTGGTCACGCATGATCCATTCGTATGCATGTTGCCCAGTGATTCCCCACAAAGTTTGATCGTCATGTCATGATCCGCTGATGTTGCTTGACATACGTGGTTCTCCTTTGAAATGATGACTGAATGGACATGGATCAACTTGGTCAGTGAGAGGGCGAAAGATGTTCTTTTTCATACTGCTTTGGTGCGTACCCTCATGGTCCATTGAGCGTACAGTGCCCCACTTTGGTGTGAAAAGAGGTCGATCAGGAACTGGTACGCCATGATCCTCGTTCTTCCCCCGCGAAGCGGGGGTCTCCATGGACCGTGTTTGGCGTGGTCAGGTTTGGCTTGGTCCCCAATATGCTGCTTGGTCCAAACACGTAGCGAAGGGATGAGGACAACGAGAAACTGCACATGATTCACAATCAAACTGAGAAGCCTTCAGAGCCTTGAAATGTCTCCAGCTAGGGTGCCTGTTGGAATGCCGTGCTGCTAGTTAGGGAGTTGAAGTTTGTCCGCGGCGCCAAGGACCTTCTCCACAGGAATTGTTGTCATTTCGCTGTGGCATTGTGCGCCATGTCCAAATGCGTGAAGCCAGGCTTGCTTAGAGGGAAGCGGCTTCTTCTCTCAGAGAAGGTTGCAGATGTTTTGCTGGACATCGCTGGACCATGCTGGCCATGACTCTTCAGACAGATAAACTTAAGCGGATGGTGAACTCTGGAACATTCTACGACAGACCTACTGTGGTTGCTGCGGGTGGTAATTGGTGGCTCTTGTTTCTGCACTTGAGTTTGAAGATCCTTTGTCAAAAGTTCTCAAGCTAGCACCGCGAGAAAGTTTTAGAGCCATGAAGGGATAGCCAATTTTGACGACAAGACGCGTTCATTCTTCAAAGGACTGGGAAAGACCAGTTCGAACATGTCTGAACCAACTTGCCCTTCCAATAGCTGGAAACCGGTGCCTGTCTAAGACATCCAGCTAGAAGCTTGCACCTTCCAAACATGGCGCTCTACGCCTTCCTAGCTGCTTGGTTCGTAGAATT